CCCTCTCTCTCTCTCTCTCTGTTCTCTCTCTCTCTCTCTCTCTCTCTCTCTCTCTCTCTCGCTCTCTCTCTCTCTCTCTCTCTCTTTCTCTCGTTTTCTCTCTCTCTCTCTATATATATATATAGATCTCCTTCTCTCTCTCTCTCTCTCTATCCCTCCCTCTGTCTCTCTCACTCTCTCTCTCTCACTCGCTCTCTCTCTCTCTCTTTTCTCTCTCTCTCTCTCTCTCTCTCTCTCTCTCTCTCTCTCTCTCTCTGTATCGCTCTCTCTCTCTCTCTTTCTCTCTCTCTCTCTCTCTCTCTTTCTCTCTCTCTCTTTCTCTCTCTCTCTCTCTCTCTTTCTTTCTCTCTCTCTCTCTCTCTCTCTCTCTCTCTCTCTTTCGTCCTCCCCCCATCGCTGTCTCTTTTTCCTCTCAGCGACGGGTCGGGCACGGGTGGCCTGGTTCCGTCTTTTCGCGTTGCAGGTTTGCGGGCCTTCGGCTCGTGACACAGAGCTTCGCTACCTCGGGGGGGCGGCGCGGGGCGGTTCCCCCGACTGAAGGGCCCGGCCAAGTGGCCCGAGACGGCGGGGACTTCGCCGTCCAGATGGCCATGCGACACATCATTGGCACGTTCACGGTGTAGGGCGATTGCACAAGCACGCCCCAATGTTGTTGCCCCCCCCCCCCCCACGATACCCCCTGTGGGAGACGTCCCAGGCCAGGCTGGTGGCGACACCTGCAGACTCCTCTCTGTGCGTGACCCTCAAGGCGCACGCGTCTCTGCGGGGTGTCCTGCGGCCATGTGCCCTATGCAGGCGCCATCCCGCAGGGGGTGGGTATAGCAGACTGGTAGCATTGCCCGATCGCCCCTCTCACAGGTTATCAGCCGCTTTGCCAGAGTTGCGAGACCGACGCTGTCAGTCTCTGAGGGCGTGTGCTACGTCATTTCTTCATGCGGCCTTCGGCGCCATTCGGAGGACGGCGCGATTGCTTCAGATGATGTGACGGCCCTCTTTGCCCATTCTTTGTGCGTTTTGTGATCCATCGTTGATTGCCTCTGTTGGAAGCTGATCTGGCGTCCTCCCCGCCGGTGGCAACACCAGCTGCGCCCTCGTCGCCTTGGCTGGGCGCAGCTGCACATTGCTGTCACAGAGCTTCTAACGCGACTGAGACTTCTCGATGTGTCCCTCAGTATCCAGCTCTCTATTCCATTCTCTCACGTCGTTTTGCGTCGGGGTGGGGCGCCCCCGCAGGTGCATTTCGACGCCCTCCTCTTCTCGCTTTCTGTTGTCCTTACCCATGTCCATCCATCCATTGCTCCCCCTTCCCACCCATGCGTCCTTCTCTTCTTCCTTTCACGCTTATGATTGTGCATGTTGTCACCGTGCCCACATTCATGTCGGAGCGATTGCTGCACGCCGCGCAATGTCGACCAGTTGTCTCTCCCTTGTGCCCGTCTTCTTTCTCCTTTGCGCTTCTGTATGTGCGTGTGCGGAATCCCAGCGTCCTGGCAGAGTGACGTGTTGGACGGGCCCAGACCGGCCGGCTGGCCTCCCCTCCTTCGGTTTACGATTTCGCCCCCATCTTTGACAGGTTGCAGGATGTTGGACGGCGGCGGACCACGCGTCGGACAAGCATTTCGTTCTCCTTATCGTGAAGAGTAGCCAGTGCGGCGGGGGCGCCCTGTTTACATGCCACGGGGCTCCGTGGTGGTGGGGCATTTGCTGTGCGTCAACTTTCCCAGTGCTCTGAAACAGAGACAGTAAGTCACATCTCGGAATAGCGCTGCTCGAACAGCGTCCAGAAGTCAGGTTAACTCCTCTCGTTCTTCCTCTCCCTGCGCGACGGACTACCTCGCGCGCAGGCGCAAGGGCGGGGCCCCGGAAGGTGCTCGCTGCTGGCCCATGACCTTTTGATTGTTTGTTTGTGGGTGACGGTTGTCACAGACTTGCTTTGCACATTCGGACCCTCGTTTGCGCTGGGCCCGCAGCATCCACAACTACAGGTTGAGTCCTCGTGGTGGACCCCGCAGCGGCTCTGCGCAGATCCCTATTCTTCTCCTCTTGAAGGCGCTTGGAGACGGATGTCTCTCATCGGGGGGGTCCTTCCCCTTTTCCCTTTCCTCCTCTCTTCTTCTAGTGGGTTCAGTCCCGCAGCCTCTGGGCGTCGTGGGAGTTCACCTCCCCGCGTCTCCTCGGAGTCGGGTCTGGCCCTCCCTCCTCTGTTCTTCTGGTGGGTTCAGTCCCGCAGCCTCTGGGCGTCGTGGGAGTTCGCCTCCCCGCGTCTCCTCGGAGTCGGGTCTGGCCCCCCCTCCCTCTCCAATTTCTCCTTGGACAAGTCAGAAACCTCTGCGGGGGGGTCACAGCCCCGCAAACTGGCACCTCTTGCAAAGGAGCACGAAAACAGGTGCTCGAGGTGGCCAGATCCCGGCTCTTATCGATAAGAGCAGCCCATTTTGGGCGGAGCCGGCGCCCCCCAATCGACAAGAGCAGCCCATTTTGGGCGGGGGCAACGCATCTCCGTCTTTCTTGTCTTCCTCCTTCTTTCTATTCTATCGTGTCGTCTCGTGTCGGGGGGGCCGATCTGTCGGTGCTCCAGGACCTGTGGGCAGTTGAGCCCTGCGGACTTGTGTCGAGCTCACATTGTTGCGCCCCCCCCACAGGTACATATCGACACGTTCCTCCTCATCATTGTCTTATCTTTTCTCTTACCATGCCGTCTCTCGTCGGGGGGGTCGTCGCGTCGAGCTCGCTGCCTCCCCGCAGGTGCATATCGACATGTTCCTCATCCTGTTTCTCTTTGCCTTTCCCTCCTCTAGTTCTGCTTTCGCACAGGTGTCAGTCGAGAGACGCTCTCTCAGTGTTGCTTCCTTTCTCGGTCGTTGTCGTCAGGTGCATTTCCTGTTCTTCTCCTACAAAGTGGTTGGCCAGCCCGCAATATATATATTGTTCATATTGTGCTTTCAGGTGCCCATTGTGACGTCGTGTACACACGTCCATCTTGTGGTCTCTGTCTCCCCCAGGTGCACATTTTGACGCTTCTCTCCGACCGCTTCTTCTGGATTGCTGTCGCTGCGAGGTCTGCCCGGCCAGGTCTGCTCCATCTCCTGTTCTACTTCCGCCACCCGATGACGTGCGTGATCGCGTGTCGCAAGGGGGGGGGGGTGGGGGACGTCCCAGGCCAGGCTGGTGGCGACACCTGCAGACTCCTCTCTGTGCGTGACCCTCAAGGCGCACGCGTCTCTGCGGGGTGTCCTGCGGCCATGTGCCCTATGCAGGCGCCATCCCGCAGGGGGTGGGTATAGCAGACTGGTAGCATTGCCCGATCGCCCCTCTCACACCCCCCCCGCCACCGCCGCCCCCTCCACCACCACCACCACCACCACCAACACCACCACCGCCACCGCCACGCGCGCGCCCACCCACCCCGCCCCCCACGCACCCACCTGACAGTCGGTCTCGCGCGCGGCGACGCGCTTTCGAGAAGGGGCAAACACTGTGAGTAGGTTTCAGAAAGGTCGTGGCTCACACAGGTGTCCGTGAAGGGCGCATCGCTCTGTTCGAGCACCGAGGCAACGGACAGGCAGACCGCCTAGCCAAGCAGGGTGCTAGCTTGGTTAGACGACACCCTGCAGTGGGGCTCGTGGTTCGAGGGGCGCTGGTCCTAGCCTGGTTTTTGTTGAAGTTTACCCGCGGAGCGGAGGCCCGCTGCGCAAACCTCGGCAAATCTGACAATATCGGGGCTCAGGGGCACAATGAGGCGTCGCTGGAAGGCGGCGCGGAGCCCGAGAAGGCCATCGAGGAAGTGAGGCGGATGGGGGGGGGGCGAGGGAGGAGGGGGCGCTGCTGCCCCGGCTCCCCCTCCAGAGGGCCCCATCATCCTCCTCCACATCGGGCCCCAGCTTCGAACTTCTGGGTCCAAAGTTGGCTTCGACGGCCAGAGATGTTGAGCAGTCTCCGTGGACGGCCCACGGGCATATGCTGCTCGAGTTTGAAGTGGCGGCAGATGGCCAACCGCCTATCCTTTGTTGGTCGGCATGTGGGGGATATACTACTATCTCGCAAGGTTCCAGGGTGCTCCGCAAGGCTTGCCTGGGCCCCCAGCATGCCCGAGTGGGCCCTGGCAGGAAGAACTCTAGAGCTGTTTCGAAAAGGGAAGTACACCAGCAGACCTTTCACGTTGGGCCCCTGGAGGACTCGCGGGGGCGAGGCTCGGGAGTTTGCTGGGGGGTCGAGAAGGCACCAGGCACCAGGAGCCCAGCAAAGAGGATGTGCTTCAGGGCCCGCCGGGGGCCAAGTTCCGTCCGTCGGCTTGGCCGGCCTTGGAGAGCGCCTGGGCCGCGACTGTGCCGAGGAGCACGGTGCCGAATGCGATGGTTAATTTGCCCACAGAAAGGGTCCTTGTCGCTGGCCCCTCTCTGGCGCGGTGGCCTGCCAGGGAGACACAAAGGTATCCTCGGATGGGCCTCTTCTTGGAAGTTTTTTCGGACTGAACCCCCTTTCCCCTCAGTGGCGTGCGATCCTCCTCCTCCTGCTTTCCCTCCTGGTCGTTCCCGCCATCCTCCTCGTCCTCCTCGTCCTCGTCGTCCTCCTTTTCCTCCTGCTCGTTCCCTCCCTCCTCCTCGTCCTCCTCCTCCTCCTCCTCGTCGTCCTCCTCCTCCTCGTCGTCGTCGTCCTCCTCCCCGCCCTCCGTTCCCTCCTGCTCGCCCCCGCCCTCCGCACCCACGGCGTGCTCCTCCACCTGAGTCAGCCCGCCTCCCTGTACTGATCGTTGTTTCTCTTCTCGTCCTCAGCCGCCCTGTCCTTGTGCGTTTTCCGCCTCCCGTTCCTGCTCCCGCTCTCGCACTTGCTGTTTATGTTGTTGCGCCTCGTGCTCATCCCCCCCCCTTCCGCTCGTTTTTCCTCTCGCTCCCCTGCCCGCCCCTCCCGCCCCCCGTCCCCTCCCACTCTGCTTCCCGTCCCCGCCCGCTGCCCCCTCCCTCCTCGACCATACCGTCCTCGCTGAGAAGTTATACCCGGAGGCCGCAAGAGAGGACCGGCAGAAGGAGGGACAGAAGAAGACGGGCGAAGCAAAGGACGACGAGTCTGCAGACGGCTCGGAGAAAGAACAACCGAAGGTTTCGCCTTCTCCTCGTCCTTTTCAATGTTCTCTTCGAAATCATGTCTGCTGCCATTTTCATCACCACCACCACCATCACCGCCATCCTCATCATCCTCATCAGCATCATCAGCATCATCAACATCAACAGCATCAACACCAGCATCACCATCACCATCACCACCAGCATCATCAGCATCATCAGCATCATCACCACCAGCATCATCACCACCAGCATCATCAGCAGCAGCATCATCCTATTCACCTTGATCTCCATCTTCACCTTCACCTTCACCTTCGCCTCCGTCGTGGAGATCAACAACAACATCATTAGCATCATCACCATCAGCAGCATCATCAGCATCAGCATCAGCATCATCATCAGCATCATCATCATCATCATCATCGGGCTTCTCCGACTCGTCCTAGATCACGTCCGCTCCGTTTCGTTATCCTGGTTATGTGCATTCGTTTTCGTCCTCTTGCTCCTGCTCGGGTGCTGTACCTTTACAGCTAGTGTGATAAGTTATACACACACGTGCACACCTCGGGCGGGTGGGGGTGGGATGTAATCTTCCGCCTCGCGGTGCACGCACAGGCAAAGCGATGCACCGAGTCCGCGACATATGAGCGCTATATAAGTCGGGCGTATCCCTCGTCAGGGGGAATATTCCCAAAAAGAATCGTCTGGGGACGATGCTACTCGTATGTGTTATGTGTTTTGCTGAGCATCGTTTAACCAGCGTTCGCCCCAAATCCGCCCGTAGGGGGACAGGCCCGACCTAAGCTTCGCGCGCCGAGTCCAGGACAGGCGGCATGCCCAGGACGCGCCGCCCGCATCTCCGCCCCCGCCGCCGCAGGACGGCCGGGGTGCTCAAACGAGAAATCGCATAATGTGCAGACCCCCCCCTCAGACCTCGAACGTTCCTCGATCCGTACCCGAATGTACAGATCTGGCATGACAAGTGGACTGGTGCACCAGCACTGCCCGGCGGCGCCGTGGCCGCCGGCTGGCTCGCGCGAGCCCGGCCCCTCTCGCGCCGCTCCCGCCGAAAGCCCGCGCCTCGCGCGCGCGCGCGCTCCGCTCGGAGGGGCGTGCGTGCCCCCCGGCCCAGCAGTGGGCGGCCCAGGCTGCCGGGCGCCCCACGGCCCGGCTCTGCTAGGGGGGCACATGCGAACCCTACCCCTACCGCCCACGATTTCCGAGGGGGTAGGGTTCACATGTGCCCCCTTAGCTCGCCCGGGGGTGTGATAACAAGAGAAAGTCGGGTGTGGATCCAGTCGGCCTGGATGAGTAGGTCGACCCTGCCAGTCCGGGGGTGTAATTTGTCTTGTGCCCAAAAAGTGATACGCACTTGGTCTGATCACATTTTTTTTATCCGTAAGGGCTTCGCCCCCTGCCGCCAGCCCCCTCTCTCGGATAATGGGCAATGCAAGAGCGAAAGCATGAGGCCTTCGCGCCGCCGTGAAGCAGCGTCGGGGCTTCACGCGAAGACGATGAGTAATCGGCACGATAAATTGAGACTATGATGATATGATATTGTTGACTTTCGGTGTTGTATTTCGAGCTTGCTCGCGTATGCTGTGCAACAAGCTTTTCTACTTGACCCTGACCCCGCCGATCTGAATGAGGGGGGCCACCGAATTTCAAGACATGTGGCAAATCCAACGTGTTTTTCGACGCTGACCCCGCCGATCTGAGTGAGGAGCGCCACCGAATTTCAGAAATGAAGCAAATCCCTTGCGTTTTTCGACCCTGACCCCGCCGATCTGCGTGAGGGGACCACCGAATTTCAAGACATGTGGCAAATCCCATGTGTTGTTGGACCCTGACCCCGCCGATCTGCAAGAGGCGTGCCACCGAATTTCAAACATGTGGCAAATCCCTTGTGTTTTTCTTCCCTGACCCCGCCGATCTGCAAGAGGGGTGCCACCGAATTTCAGAAATGTGGCAAATCCCATGTGTTTTTCGACCCTGACCCCGCCGATCTGCGTGAGGGGGGCCACCGAATGTTTGGAAGTGTGACAAATCCCATGTGGTTTTCGACCCTGACTCCGCGGATCTGCGTGAGGGGTGCCGCCGAATTTGAGAAGCATGGCAAATCCATCGTGTTTTTCGACCCGAACCCGGCGATCTGCGTGAGGGGTGCCACCGAATTTTAGACATGTCGCAAATCCAATTGTTTTTTCAACGCTGACGTCGCCGATCTGCGTGACGGGTGCTACCGACTTTCAGACATGTGGCAAATCCCATTGGTTTTTCGACCCTGACCCCGGCGATCTGCGTGAGGGGTGTTACCGAATTTGAAAATTGTGGCAAATCCCATGGGTTTTCCGGCCCTGACCCCGCTGATCTGCGTGAGGAGTGTTACCGAATTAAAGAATGTGACAAATCACATTGGTTTTTCTACCCCGATCCCGCCGATCCACGTGAGGGGTGCCGCCAATTTTCAGAACTGTGGCAAACCCCATGTGTTTTTGGACGCGACCCCGCCGATCTGCGTGCTGTCGAATTTTAGATATTTGACTCACATGTGTTTTTGGACCCTGACCCCAGCGATCTGCGTGAGGGGTGTTAATTATTTGAAAATTGTAGCAAATCCCATGGGTTGTCCGACCCTGACCCCGCCGATTTGCGTGAGGAGTGTTACCGAATTAAAGAATGTGGCAAATCCCATTGGTTTTTCTAGCCTGATCCCGCCGATCCACGTGAGGGGTGCCGCCAATTTTCTGAAATGTGGCAAACCCTATGTTACCTAACAGCGAAGACTGATAGGTTTCTAGTAGGGTCAAAAGAGTGCATCATGACTCCCCAGGGGGGTCTGGGCAGATGCCGGACGGGTGCCGCGGGAATCTGGGGACTCCCCATTTTGATTGCCAGGAGCTACATTGTGACTGCCCGGAGCCAACAGAACACAATTCCCAGGCCACATTTTGAATGCCCGGAGCCAACTCTAGGCCACTTCGTGTTCTTCGTGTTCCCAGAACACCATTCCCAGGCCACAGTTTGAATGCCCAGAGCCAACTGTAGGCCACTTCGTGTTCTTCGCTTTCCCAGAACACCATTCCCAGGCCACATTTTGAATGCCCAGAGCCAACTGTAGGCCACTTCGTGATCTTCGTGTTCCCAGAACTCCAGGCTTGTGCCATATCTTGAATGCCCGAGCTGAGGCAGGCTGAGGCCGAGGCAGGCTGAGGCCGAGGCAGACTGAGGCTGAGGCTGAGGCAGGCTGAGGCTGAGGCTGAGGCAGGCTGAGGCTGAGGCAGGCTGAGGCTGAGGCTGACGCAGGCTGAGGCTGAGGCGAGGCTGAGGCTGAGGCAGGCTGAGACTGAGGCTGAGGCAGGCTGAGGCTGAGGCTGAGGCTGATGCAGGCTGAGGCTGAGAAGCTGACGTTGAGGCTGATGCAGGCTGAGGCTGAGGCTGAGGCCGAGGCAGGCTGAGGCTGAGGCTGAGGCAAGCCGAGGCAGGCTGAGGCTGAGGCTGAAGCTGAGGCTGAGGCTGAGGCTGAGGCTGAGGCTGTGGCTGAGGCTGAGGCAAGCTGCGGCTAAGGCAGGCTGAGGCTGAGGCTGATGCAGGCTGAGGCTGAGGCAGGCTCAGGCTGAGGCCGAGGTAGGCTGAGGCTGAGGCTGAGGCCGAGGCAGGCTGAGGCTGAGGCCGAGGAGGCCGAGGCAAGCCGAGGCAGGCTGAGGCTGAGGCTGAGGCTGATGCTGAGGCAGGCTGAGGCTGAGACAGGCTGAGGCTGAGGCTGAGGCAGGCTGAGGCTGAGGCAGGCTGAGGCTGAGGCCGAGGCAGGCTCAGGCCGAGATAGGCTGAGGCCGAGGATGAGGATGAGGATGAGGATGAGGCCGAGGCAGGCCGAAGCTGAGACAAGGTGAGGCTGAATGGAGGGGGGGGGGAGGGAGGGGGGGGGAGGGGGAGGAGGCTGAGGCAGGCTGAGGCCGAGGCAGGCTGAGGCCGAGGCAGGCTGAGGCCTGAGGCAGGCTGAGGCTGAGGCTGAGGCTGAGGCAGGCTGAGGCTGAGGCTGAGGCTGAGGCTGAGGCAGGCTGAGGCTGAGGCTGAGGCTGCAGGCGGCTGAGGCTGAGGGCCGAGGCAGGCTGAGGCTGAGGCTGAGGCAGGCTGAGGCTGAGGCCGAGGCTGAAGGCAGACTGAGGCTGAGGCTGAAGCAGGCTGAGGCTGAGGCTGAGGCAGGCTGAGGCTGAGGCTGAGGCAGGCTGATGCTGAGGCAGGCTGAGGCTGAGGCTGAGGCTGATGCAGGCTGAGGCTGAGGCAGGCTGAGGCTGAGGCCGAGGCTGAAGGGCTGAGGCTGAGGCTGGCAGGCTGAGGCTGAGGCTGCAGGCTGAGGCTGAGGCTGAGGCAGGCTGGCTGCTGAGGCTGAGGCTGAGGCTGAGGCTGAGGCTGAGGCTGAGGCTGAGGCAGGCTGAGGCTGAGGCAGGCTGAGGCTGAGGCTGAGGAGGCAGGCTCAGGCTGAGGCGAGGCTGACAGGCTGAGGCTGAGGAGACTCAGGCCGAGAGGCTGAGGCGAGGATGAGGATGAGGATGAGGCCGAGGCAGGCCGAAGCTGAGACAAGGTGAGGCTGAATGGGGGGGGGAGGAGGGGGGGGGAGGAGGGGAGGCTGAGGCAGGCTGAGGCCGAGGCAGGCTGAGGCCGAGGCAGGCTGAGGCTGAGGCTGAGGCAAGCCGAGGCAGGCTGAGGCTGAGGCTGAGGCTGAGGCTGAGGCAGGCTGAGGCAGGCTGAGGCTGAGGCTGAGGCTGACGCAGGCTGAGGCCGAGGCAGGCTGAGGCTGAGGCTGAGACAGGCTGAGGCTGAGGCTGAGGCAGGCTGAGGCTGAGGCCGAGGCAGGCTGAGGCTGAGGCTGAGGCAAGCCGAGGCAGGCTGAGGCTGAGGCTGAAATTGAGGCAGGCTGAGGCATCCGTAGGAATGCATAGGAATTCCTAGGAATCCCTAGGAATCCCTAGGAATCCTTAGGAATCCGTAGGCATCCTTAGGAATCCGTAGGCATAGTTAAGCATCCTCAGGAATCCTTAGGAATCCCTAGAAATCAGGATTCCTAAGGATTCCGAAGGTTTCCTAAGGATTCCTATGGATTCCTAAGGATGCCTTAGGAATCCCTGGGAATCCTTAGGATTCCATTGGATCCTAAGGCCGTTGCCACTGCGACTGTCATTGCGAATGCGACTGCGACTGCGAGAACAGTAGAATTCTACAACTGGATTCTCACCTGAATCTTAAGGGGAATGCTTCCAGAGATGCTTATACACATCGCTGTTAGGTTGCTTTGCTGGGATAATGTTTTTGGACGCGACCCCGCCGATCTGCGTGCTGTCGAATTTTAGAAATGTGACTCACATGTGCTTTTGGACCCTGACCCCGCCGATCTGCGTGAGAGGCGCCGTCGAATTTCAGAAATGTATCAAATCCCGTGAGTTTTTTGACCCTGACCCTGCTTAGCTGCGTGAGAGGTGCCGCCGAATTTCAGAAATGTGGCAAATCCCATATGTTTTTGGACCCTGACCTCGCCGATCTGCGTGAGGGGTGTCAATTTCGACCCCCCCAGAAATTCTGAGACCCTTCCCCAGAGGTGCTAACCAGAGCGGTTTTCGGCTCCCCCCCTCGCGCGGTCTACAACAAGGAGCAGTAAGCAACAGGAAGCAGAACTGTAACGGTGGAAACCGGAAACTGGAACTGGCGCATGGGAACAGCCAACCCTGAGCCTACAGCCGGGTGGCCCCACAACGGGGGCGGGCGGATCAAACACACACACACACACACCACACACACACACACGCACTGCACGCACGCACGCACGCACGCACGCACGCACGCACGCACGCACGCACGCACGCACGCACACTTTTGCCGTCACACTTCTCCGGAACGCCGGGACCTCGGCGGCCTCGGCGTGGGCGGCCCGCGCCGAGGGCCCCCTGCGGGCCAGGCCTCTGGAGGTCGCCGGCGTGCTCCGGATCCGCGGCCTCCGCCTGCGCCTCGTCCACCTCCTGCCCCGCCCCCCTTCCTGCTCTCGTCTTCCCTCCCCCCTCCTCCCCCCCTGCCCTCTCCTCCCCGCCCTCCCTGCCTCGCCTGCCACGGCCACGGGCCTCCCCTCCTCCCTCCTCTGCCTCGCCCCTCTGCCCTCCTCCGTTCTTAATGGCGGCGCGCAGAGGGGGGTAGGGGGGAGGGGGGAAGGCTTCTTAGAAGCACCCCTGCTTCTCAGAAGGCGCGGGCCTTCTCTGTAGACGTAAGGCCGAGGCCTTCTGAGAAGCAGGGGTGCTTCTAAGAAGCCTTCCCCCCTCCCCTCACCCCTCTGCGCGCGCGCCCCCCCTTCCCCCCTCCCCTTTACCCCCCTCTGCGCGCCGCCAGATTCTGTCCTCCGCTCCAGCTGCTGCCGCCGTCTCCTCCCTCTCAAGAGCGAAAGAAGGACGTACATGTACATGAATCCACGCTGGTTTCGAGACCACGTGTTGCACAAATGTTCGTATAACGCGGCCCGTCTCGCGAGTCGAGGGGCCGTGTTCATGTACATAGCTGGGCGCGTACGTCCTTTGTGGGCTCCCTACCCTCTCTGCCCCTGCTCCCGCCGCTGAGGCGGCCGGCGGTGCGGCCTCGGAGGGCGGGGCGGAGAGCACCGCGGCGGGCGGTGCCCCGGAGGCAGAGGCCGAGGAGGACGGCGCTGCGGCTGAAGGGGAGGCGCGGAAGGGCGTCCAAGAGGGGGCCAAGGGCGCGACAGGAGAGAACGCGAAGGTCGAGGCAAAAGGAGGCGCCGGCGAGGAAGAAGATGGCGAGGACGCCGGAGAGGATCGTGAGGCGAAGAAGGCAACCCAAGAGGAGGTCAAAGCGAGTGACGATGCGGAAGAAGGCGCCGACGAGGAAGAAGATGACGAGGACGCCGGAGAGGATCGTGAGGCGAAGAAGGCAATCCGAGAGGAGGTCAAGGCGACAGAGGAGAAAGCGAGTGGCGATGCGGAAGAAGGCGCCGATGACGAGACAAAGGAGGGTGAGGAGGAAGTGGAGGAGGGCGTTCGGGAAGGTGGGGAGGCGAACAAGGTAGCCGATGATGAGGCCAAGAAGTCCACAAAAGATAAGGTCGATGACGAAGCGAGAAAAGACGCCGACGAAGAGGCAGAGGAGGAGAGCGAGGACGCCGGGGAGGAAGAGAAAACGAAGGCAACAGCAGATAATGCTAAGAATGATGCGAAAGAAGACGCCGACAAGGAGGCTGAGGAGGAGAAGGGGGAGGATGACGCTGGTGAGGAAGGTGAGGCGAAAGAGGTGGCAGACGAGGAGACCAAGAAGGCAGTAGACGAGAAAGCGAAAGACAAGACAGACGGTGGTGCCGATGAAGGGGCTGCTGAGAAGAGTGAGGGTTCGGCAGAGGACGACGAGGGGAAGCAGTCCGGAGAAGAGGCGGAGGACGCCCCTGCAGAGAGGGCGGCGAAGGTCCCGAGGGCGAGCGCCAGCGAAAGGGATGGTGACGAGGCGGAGGAGGAGGCGGCAGAGGAGAAGGCAGGCGGCGCCGCCCAGAAGGGGCCCCCAGGGGAGGCGGCGAGCGGCCGCGAGAGGGACGGCGACGAGGCGGAGGAGGAGGCGGCAGAGGAGAAGGCGGGCGGCGCCGCCCGGAAGGGGGCCCCCGGGGAGGCGGCGAGCGACCAGGCCGAAGGGGCGGCGGCGGGGGGCGCGCAGGCGAGCGGCAGGGAGCCGAGCGCGCCCGCGGAGGAGCCGCGGGAGCCAGCGCAGGGCGAGGCTCCCGCGACGACGGCGGGCGGCGGCGGCGCGGCCGACGGCCCGCGGGAGGTGGAGAAGAAGCCCGAGGATCACCGGCGGAGGGAAGGTACCCATACTGCTACCCTTGCCTCCTGCTCCTCCTCCTCCCTCCTCCTCCTTCCTCCTCCTTCCTCCTCCTCCTCCTTCCTCCTCGTCCTTCCTCCTCCTCCTCCTCCTCATCCTTCTCCTCCTTCTCCTCCCCCTCTTACCCAGAGGAGGAAAAGGTACCCCTCCCGCTATCCTTACCTCGATCTCCCCTTTCTGGGCGTCCTGGGAGGCCCTCGTCGCCACCGCTGGGTTCGCAGCGAAGTTCTGGTCAGAGCGCACTCCGGGGGTAGAGGTCCTGGCAGTAGCGGTATCGGTGCCTTATGCTTTCCGCAGATCAGGATGGCTTTACAGTGCCCGTAGGTCGTTGAAAGTAGGTACTCTTGGATTCCCAGGTCCCAATCTACTGTGGCCGCTTTCCTACTTCAAGAGTCGAGCGGTTTTCCCTATTTAGTTAATCGCTTCGCTCGTTCAGCCGGCCCATATATTGCCTCGCCGCTGTCGTTCGTCGGGATGTTGTTGTCAATGCGGTGCGGTTGGGCGGCTGCCATTTTTCGGAGGCGGTGGGTGGCGGGTCAGAGGCCTCATGGATGTTGGTTGGGCTCTCGTGGTTGGCCTCTCGGGGGCTTTTGGGAGGCAGTTTTGAGGCCTCTTGGGGGCCGTCTTGGGGCCTCTTGGGGCCTCTTGGGGGCCTTTTGGGGCTTCTTGGGGTGCCTCTTCGGGGCCTCTTGGGGCCTATTGGGGGCCTCTTGGGACCTCCTGGGGGCCTCTTGGGGCTGAAGGCTGGACTTTTCGGTTCCTGGCCCCCTTCTTGGGCCCCTCTTGGCGCCGTTTTGGGGCTCTCTTCTGTGCGGAGGGTGCGGAAGGTGCAGGCCGAGGGATAGGAGGTCCGTTTTTCCCCAAGTAGGCTTGCCTAAGGTCGGCGCCACCCCAACATACTTATGTGCGTCGCCCCCCCAGGGGCGACGCGCGCACCGAGAAATCTTATAGTATATGCGTCTTGGCGGGCGCTGTCTGGCCACACCGCTCGGGAAACGATCTACTACAAGATGGGTATACTACATGTTCGGGTCGGACGCGCGCCTCCAAGGAGAACATATAGTACTAGTATGTCTTCGTGCGTCCCATAAGGGGTTTTTGCTTGGTTACATGTTGGTGCCTACTAATGTTACGTCGCCCGTTGCTCGGCGGGTTCCCCGGGCTCCCTGGGTTCCCCAGGTACCTCATGCCAAGCAACGCCAAGCAATGCCAAGCACTGCGCCCAAGCAATAGGAAGCTTTCCCCTTGGCGTCGCGCCGGGTTCATGTATCATCCCCTGTCGAAGAGGGGGAGGGAGGGGGGGGTCTGGGCTGGTCACGGGCGTCATCACAGCTAATTGTAAAAAAGGCTCTAGCGTCAGGGAGCGGAAAGCGCATGGCATCGACCCCCAGTGGCCCACTCGTCGCCGCCGACGGCGGCCTGGTAGCCCGCCCCGCTCAGGAGCGCGCGGTTTCGCTACTCGGAGGGGCTATCGCCGGCGTGTCGGCGATGTGCATACTGCCTGTTCCAGGTCGATGTTTCCCCCCCCCCTTTCACCACCCACCAAACCATCCCAACCCGAAGGCTCAGATTTACCATCGATTTCCAGTGGGGGGGGGTCGGGAAACATCGAGAAAACACATGTGGAACCCTTACCCCCCCCAACCCGAAATTCGGGTCTTCGGGTTGGGTTGGGGTGGTCTGGTAGGTAGTCACCCTTTGTGGGCCCCGGAAACGGCAGGGCCGTTTTTTCATCGTTTCCAAAAAAATGCACCTTGAAACTGGAAACGGCAAAAAAACGGCGACCGGAAAGGGCAACAAAAACGGCTCCAGGATTGGAACCTGAGCCGGAACCGGTAAAAAAACGGCGACGGAACCGGTAAAAAAACGGCGTCGGAACCGGCAAGAAAACGGCAAAACGGAACCGGTAAAGAAACGGCCTTGTCGTTTCCAGGGACCACTAAGCCCCCCCCCAACGAGCCCGTGCACTGGTGGCCTTCAGGTCCAAACTCGGGCCTCCAGCGGCCGTTCGAGACGATCCGGGCACCCCAGGAACGCTCTCGGCGAGGCGCAGCCGCTGGTAGGCATCCCGAGGCTGGAAGACCACGAAAGAATGAAAGTGCCCGAAAACCTCGAACATCGATGCCCCCCTTCCTCTGAGCTGGCGCCCTCTTGATCGTTGTTCCCGGGAGGAGCGGGACGAGGACCCCGACGCGGAGCTGCGCCTCCTGCCGGTGGTGGAGCTGAAGCGGCGGCTGCGTGCGGCCGGGGCCGTGGTGCCCCAGGAGCTGAACGACAAGGACCGCCAGTGCAGCCCTCCCCCTCTCCCTCATCTCCCTCCTCTTTTTCCTCCTCTTCTTCCTCCTCTTCCTTCTCTTCCTCTTCCTCTTCTTCATCCTCCTCCTCTTCCTCTTCCTCCTCCTCTTCCTCCTCCTCATCCTCCTCCTCTTCCTCCTCTTCCTCCTCCTCATCATAATCATCCTTCTCCTGAGGCTCGAGGAAACGAACACAAGGCGGCGCGCTCCGCCACAGAATGACGCGGCACCGGCGCCGTGTCTCGGGGGTGTCGCGTTTCCTGGTCGGCGGGTCTGGCGCCCACAGGCCAGATCCGCGGGTCCATGAGCCGTGTCAGCGTTCGCCCGGGAGGGGGACGGGCCCTGATCAGGAGGGAACAAAACACACAGACACAATTCATCGTCGACTCCCAGGAAAATGTGGGAAAATATGGGAAGTGGGGGGGAAGGCAAACACCCAGAAAATATGGGGAAGTATTGGGAATCCTGTTATTTGTGTGTGTTTACTTGTGTGTCCGAGGGCCCCTTCACCTGAGGCGCTTCGTCGTTTTGTTCCTCCTGGCGGAGGTCGGAAATCTCTTGGTACCGCTGGTTGACTTTCCCTCGTCACCAGTTTCGTTTCGAAATGTGGATCTGACCGCACCCATTGAGAGGTCTGGGGAGTAGCGGTATCCCCTAGGCCAGGTTCGCGCGGCGTTGGCGCGCCGGCGAAGGCGTTCAAGGTTGAATTCTGCGACGCGGAAGCACCGATGGACACGGTAACGCCATTGGACCGACTGAATTCAACCTTGAACGATCGGGGCCGCGATCGATTCAAGGTTGAACGATCGGCTCGGTGTCAAAAACCTTTGCGCGCGCCGACGCCACACGAACATGCCGTACAGAGGAAGCCCGCGCCAAGCAGCACCCTGCCTGCCTCCAGGGTGCCCTTGGTTTCTTGGGTTTCGGTGGTGTTATGCTATGTAAAGCGAAACCGGTGGACGTCCTGGGGTCTCAGGGTTGTCGGAGGGCACCAACTATACACCAACACCGATCCTGGCCCAGGATCACCCTGGTCCCAGGATCGGTGTATATGCCTTCTTGCGCAAGGCAGGAGGGCGTATACACCGATCCTGGGCCCAGGGTGATCCTGGCCAGGATCGGTGTTTGTGTATAGTTGGTGCCTTCCTAGGTTGGGATTCTTGTGGGAAGCTTCTTGTGGTCTACTGTGCCTTTTCGTCCCTCTCCATCCTGGAGCTCTCCACGGTCCACGGTGCCATCGGAACACGGCTCGGGGCGAGCAGCTTGGCCCCGGGGGAGGGCCAACGGGACGACGACGACGGCGACGGCGACGACGACGACGACGGCGGCGACGACGACGGCGACGGCGACGGCGACGATGACGACGACGGCGGCGGCGACGACGACGACGACGACGGCGGCGGCGGCGACGACGACGACGACGACGACGACGACGACGGGACGGGGGCGGTGGCGGCGGCGGCGGCAGGCGGCGGGGACGCGTTTCCCTTGTGACCTTCGCCGCGCTTCCTCCAGGACGAGCTAATCGCCCTGCTGAGCGTTGCCAGCGGCGCCAAGAGGGCCGAGCCGGCGGAGGTCAGGCGACGAAATCTATACAGATCCGTTATCCCCTGGCCAGGCTTCTCCTGGGCCCAGGAGCTGTGTATACACCTTCCTGGCCAAGCCAGGAGGGCGTGGCGTAGACACCGCTGCTGGGTTCAGGATGGGCCTGGCCAGGGAACACATCGTTTAACCGACCTCCCCATCCCCATCCCCGTCCAGACCCCCACCGTCCCAGCGCCCCAGTTGGGGACAGACTCTCGAAACCCGAAAGGAACGGCCTATATCCTCATCCAGGGGGGCAAATTGGCCAGAGGGACCCAGGCCACTCGACGGCGCCAGAGGCTCCACCGGGGGGAGTCCGGCGCGGATCCAAGAAACCTGCGCGGAGCGCCATAAGTTTACGTTTGAGCCGTGTTTCCTTCTTCTTTATGCGATTCGGCGGCGGGCGCGGGGGGGAAATGAGAAGGGGCGGGACTTCCGAGGCTTCTGAGAAGTTTCTGGACTTCTGAGAGGGCTTCTGAGAAGTTCTGTCTGTATTCGAAATAGGCCAAGGAAACGTCTCGGAAGCCCCCCGGACTTCTAAGAAGTCCCGCGGCCTTCTGAGAAGGCCTTCTCCTTCTCATTTCCCCCCTGGGCTCGTCGCCTAGCGATGCTGAAGGACGACTTCGCCAGCTTCCTGTCACAGATCGAGGACATGCAGGCCTCGGGCGACCTGCCGCCGCCACCGCCACACGAGCGGCCGCCTGGGCCGCCAGAGGAGCCGCCGCCCGAGCCGCCGCCGGACGGGGGCGGAAGCTCCACGCGGGCGCCCGGGCCGCCGAAGGACTCGCTGCCCCCGCAGCGGGGGACGACGACGACGACGACGACGCCGACGACGCCGACGACGCCGACGACACCGACGCCGACGCCGACGACGCCGACGCCGCCGCCGCCGCCGCCGCCGCCGCCGACGACGACGACGACGACGACGACGACGACGACGACAACGACGACGACGACGCCGACGACGACGACGACGACGAGGCCGTCTCGAGGCTTCCGCCGCCGGCGCGCCGCCAGCGCCGCCGAAAGGGTGCCCATACCGCCGAGAGCGCCCGCCGCTGCGGGGGGGGCTGCTGCTGCTGCTGCTGCTGCTGCTGCTGCTGCTGCTGCTGCTGCTGCTGCTGCTGCTGCTGCTGCTGCTGCTCCCCAGATCTGGGAGGAGGAGTAGGGGACCTTCTCTTCCTCCTCCTCCTCCTCCTTCTCCTCCTCCTCCTCCTCCTCCTCCTCCTCCTTCTCTTCCTCCTCCTCCTCCTCCTCCTCCTCCTCCTCCTCCTCCTCCTCAAGAAGTGTCCACACCGCTACCCTTGCCTCGTTTTCGCTTTTTGGGGGCTTCCTGGGTGGGCCCTCGTCGCCACGGCTGGATTCGCCTCGAAATCCTCGTCAGAACGCACCCCAGGAGAGGTCCGGGGAGTAGCGGTATCGGCTCCTTTGATTCGCCAAGGACGACCCGGACGATTTCGACGATTTCATGGCAGAGCTCGACAACCTCCCTGGCGTCGGCGGCGGCGCTCAGTCTCGTTTAACCGACCCCGTCCCCACCGGGCCATGGTGCCTCAGCCCCACTAGCACCCCACTTGGGGAGAGGCCCCTCGGAACCCGAGGGGAACCGCCTACGTCCCAATCCAGGGGGGCAGATCGGCCACCAGGGCCCAGGCCACGCCAGTGCGCACAGGATCGGTTCGACGGTGCTCAGGCGCGGCCGCCGGCGGCGCGGCCAAGGAGCCCGCCCCCGCCGCCGCGCCCGCCGCCGCGCCGTCCGCGGCGGCGCCCGCAGAGGCGGTCGCGGAGGCGGCCGCGGCGGCCGCGGGCAGCGGCGCGGCGGAGGGTTCGGGCCGCGCGGGCGGCGACGGGGCCATGGAGGTGGACGAGCAGGTGGCGGGGATGCCCAGACTTTGGGCCTCCCGCGGGGGATCGCGCCGCATCGGCGATGTGGGTTGCCTCCCGTGGTTTGGCGAGCTGTGCAACTGACAGGTTTGGGGAGGTCCCTGGTCCGTCTTGGCCTCCCGCCCGAGCCCCCGCCGACGTCGTGGCGGAGATGCCCAAATTCTGCGGCAGGCCCGTGTCGTGACGACTTCGGCGTTGGCCTCTTACACCGCATGAGCTCGTTCAACCTTGCACTGTCGGCAGCTTTTCGATCGCCCGATCTTTCCATGTTTGCTGGTTCTGCGCGACCAGAAGCGATCAACCTTGAACGCCCGCGGCGGGTCGCCGCCGCGTCGACACGACACCAACCTACTGTAGGCCTCTCAAGTGGGGTCCGAGTAGACGGGTTCGGGGGATCGCGCCGCATGACCGATGCATCGGCGATGTGGTTCGATGGGGACACCGATTTTTGTCCACGCCGACGTCGCCGAAGCATCGCCGACGTCGGCGATGCATCGGCGATGTACCGGCGATGCTGCGCGATGCTCCAACCCCATTTCTTGAATCGCTTCGCTTATTCCGCCGGCCCATATTGCCTCGCCGCTTGGGGGCCGTGTTGGGTCTTCTTGGGGCCTCTTCGGGGCCTCTTGGGGCTTTTGGGGGCGCCTCTTGGGGGCCCCTTGGGGCCTCTTGGGGGCCTCTTGGGGCCTCCTGGGGGCCTCGTGGGGCTGAAGGCTGGACTTTTCGGTTCCTGGTGCCCTTCTTGGGCCCCTCGTGGAGCCGCTTTGGGGCCCTCTTGTGCGATCTTCGGCGCCTCTTGGGCCGTCTTGGGGCCATCTTGGGCCGTCTTGGGGCCCTCTTGGAGGCTTCTCGGGCAGTCTTGGGGCGGTCTTGGGGGCCTTTTGGGCCGTCTCGGAGCTTTGGAAAGCCGAAAAGGCGAGAAACGTCGCGCATGCGAAAAATGTGAGTTTTCCAAACGGAATGAGACGAGTTTTGGTTGTTGGGGCCCTCTTGGAGAGCCTCTTGAGGCTCTCTTGGGGCTTTTTCGCGGCTGGGGCCATCTGGGGGCCATCTTAAGCGTCTTGGAGCGATCTTTCGGCGATTCGGGGCCTCTTGGGCCGTGTAGGGGCGTCCCGGTGCCCTCTTGGTGCGCTCCTGGAGCGCCCTGGGGGAGTCAGCCGGGCATCGCCCGGGCATCACCCAGGCATCGCCCGGGCGTCGGCCAGGGTATTTTTCGTCCAGGGGTCCCCAGGGGCTGCCACGCGCGCGCGAACTAGAATTACTGTTAACCTGTTGCAGGAGATCTTAGCACGCCTCTGGCCCGTTGGGCCGGCGAATTTTGAGCGGTACACCCGCTGGGTTTGGGGAGGTCCTTCGACCGTCTTGGCCGCCCCCCCGCCCCCCTGCCGAAGTCGTGGCGGAGATGCCCAAACTCTGCGGCAGGCTCGTGCCGTGACGTCTTCGGCGTCGGTCCCTGGCACCGCGTGGACTCGTGGCGCGCCCGCGGCGTTGGGAGGCCTCCGGCGCCGTGGGGGTCCGGGACGGCCGCACGGTCTTGGGGCTTGGGCCGTTCTCCGGGGACGTCTCTCGGGCGGTTGGGGGCCTCCGGGGCCCCAGCACCGTGCGGTGACGGAGCGTGGACCGTGCGGTGGGGTCCTTCGGGATTTCCGAGGGTCGCCGCCGCCGCCGCCGTCGTCGTCGTCGTCGTCGCCGCCGCCGCCGCCGTCGTCGTCGTCGTCGTCGTCGTCGTCGTCGTCGTCGTCGTCGTCGTCGTCGTCGTCAGGGCGGCCTGCCGCCTGCGGGGTCCGTCAGCGCACGGCGCCGGGGGCTCCTAAAAGGTGGGCGGCAGCTCGCCGTCGAGGCCCGTCTCCCTGCGCTTCGCCAGCAGCCGGCGCGCCTGGGTGGTCACCCTGGGCCACGGCTTTCGGGGCGATCGAAATGGGTACGCAAAGAACGGGTACGATGCCCAACACCAGTTCTTGCTCCTTCTGAACCGGACTCGCTGCTCGCGCCGCCACGGACGTTGCTCTTCGAGCACAACAAGCTGCCTGACCAAGAGCGGCCGCTGTCGGTTTTGGACAGCATTTGCTGTTGGGCACTGTACCTTTCAGGGGCAACGAGCGGGGGGGATAGGCATAGGGGGGGATGCATCGACCCCCAATCGCCCACTGATCGCCGATAGGGGCCCGACAGCCCCAACCTGCTCAGGAAGGTGCGGATTCACTATCGGGGGCCTATCGCCGATCCATCGGCGATGTATCGCCGATTCCAGGTCGATGTATCCCCCCCTAATTATGCCAGTCCCCCCTATCCTTGCCCCTCAACCTCCTGTTTCCGTACCCACCTCGGGCGTCCAGAGGCTTCGGGGAGCGCGCGTTCCTGGCGGACGGCGACGCCATGCGCGCGCGCCGCGACGCACGGGAGTACTGCGAGGCTCGGGCCGGGCGAAAGGGGGGGATTGGGAAAGGGGGGGTTACGAAATCTGCTGCATGCAGCTGGTTTCGGCCTCACCGACGGGCCCATTCCTCGATACATGGCCGCCTCCGGCGCCGGGAGGCGCCGGGAAAATCAGCTACGTGAGCTGATTCTCAACCCCCCCCTTTGCTATCCCCCCCCTTCCGCCCGACCCGAGAGGCGAAGTTCCGGGCCTTCGAGGCCGGCGAGGCCTGCAGCGCCGCGGAGGACGAGGCGCGGGCGGCCGAGGAGCGGCGGCGGCGGCTCGCGGAGGGCGCGGGCTTCTTCGACGGGCCCGCGAGGATCTGCAGGGGCCTGCGCTTCCGGACCATGCTTAAGTCGGGCCCGTCACCCTCTACAGGAGGAGAAGTCAAGAATGGTCAAGAAATAGTCTGGGATTTTTTTTTGTTTTAGCATCTGTTGACCATTCTGGGGTATTTTGGGGGTGTTTTTCATTTTCCGTCGAAAATCCCCCTGTAGGGGGACACGCCCGACTTAGGCCCATGCATCTGCTGCACCAGTTCGCCGCAGGGAAGGGCACCTTCATGTGGCCCCTGCCGCTGAAGCAGCAGTTCAAGGGCGGCAAGGGCATGCAGGACGGGCAGCCTTGGCCAGTTTCGTTGGCCGCGCCTCGCTCGAAAAGTGTCGGCATGGTCTTCCATGGCCCTTGCATCTTCACCGTGCATCATTACTACCAGTTTTGACGATACGTGGCCCCATGCCGCACGGGGCTAGGACGAGGATAAATCCGCTCCAGAGCGTTCCGGAACACTGTCAGCGCGTTCCAGAACGGTCTGAGAAGGCCGCGGCGCCAGATACATCCCCCCGATCCGCCGGATCTCACAGATTCTCGATTCGTCCGTCCCCGATTGTGTCCTCGTCCTAGCTTCGTCGTACAGGAGTACACCGCCGAGCTCAACCAGCAGTGCGAGGTGCACAAGCCCCAGCACCCCTTCGAGCTCCGGTTCCGGCTGTGCCTGGACCGCGGAGACGTCCAGGGCGCCGAGGCGAGGGCGACGTTCGGCTGCGGCAGCTTCCGCAACCCCGCGGGCCTGGTGGTGTCGTGCCCGTCCCGCGCCCGGGTGGAGAAGCTGAGGCAGAAGCAGGGCGAGCACGACCGCGACCACGCGGGCAGGATCCAGGCCATCCAGCAGAGGCACCAGCAGGCCGTGGCGGCGGCCATGACCCTGGCGCAGACGCCCCAGGAGGCCATGGTCATGAAGCAGCGCCTCATGATGGAGGCCCAGAAGGAGATGGCGGCGGCGGCGAACTCGCTGACCTCGGGAGGCGGCTGGGCGCGGCGGCTCGAGCGCTTCGGGGTGTTCTGCGGGGCCCAGTCGCGGGAGGAGGGCCGCACGGGCTACATGCAGATGGAGGGCCTCACCCTCCTGCCCAACCAGGACGGCAGGGCTGGACCTCGACGGTGTTTCTGGTGACTTCGTGGGCCGTTTTCGTTTCGACCTCGTTTTGCGTTAAAGGCGCGTTGGCGACAAAAGCGAGGGAGAACGAAAACGACAAGCACCGCTTAGGTTCAGCCCTGCAGGACGGCTCCAACGCGCTCGCGCTGATGCTGGTGCTCGCCTTCCTCCGGCCGCACCTCTGCGGCGGCTCCGTGCGCGGCGGGTGCAGCCTGCTGTGCGACCTGGACGACATGCGCGTGCGGGCCGTGTCGCTCTTCGGGCACTCCGACGAGACCAGGTGATCAACGCAGAAAACCCGGGCCGGACGAAAGGAGGGATTGGGAACGGGGGGGGTTACGAAATCTGCTGCCCGCAGCCGGTTTCGGCCCCACCGAGGGGCCCATTCCTCGGTACATCATAGCCGCCTCCGGCACCGGGAGGCGCCGGGAAAATCAGCTACGTGAGCTGATTCTCAACCCCCCCTTTGTTATCCCCCCCCCTTTCGCCCGATCCGAAACACGGGGTCGACGGCGCCGACATTCGCGCGCAAGCTGTCCGCGTAAGGTCACGCGCAAGCGCCCTCCTTTCCAATGTGGCGAGCCTCGCTGACGGCCCGCACAAGCCACCGCGTGAGGTCGCCATGTCATCGTGCGTCGCAGGATAGGGCGGCCAGAGCCATACATATCCACTGCCCTGGGCCTGGCCCATCCTGTAGGGGGCCACATCCGAACCCCACCCCTACCCCCCACGATTTCGGGGGGTGGGGGAGGGTGGGGTTCACTTCGCTCGGGAGCTCCCGAATGAAGTGAACCCCACCCTTCCCCTCAGAAATCGTGGGGGTAGGGGTAGGGTTCGCATGTGGTCCCCTATCCTGGGCCCAAGAGCGGAGTATACGCCCTCCTGGCTTGGCCGAGGAGGCGTGGGCACTGCCCGGTGGGCCCAGGGCAGGCCAGAACCCGGGGCGGTGGATACGTATGTGTCGGGGGTGGACAGACCTCCTACCCTGACACGTCGATTGAGGAATTGGCCGTTCTCGGTTCGCGAGGGGCGTCGCGGCCGTCGTTTTTGCGGGTCCAGGCCCGTCGGTTTCGGTCCCAGGAGTCCCAGGCCGTTTTTCACTAAGGGGTGGTTTGCTCAAGGGAGGTGTCTCCACCGCCGAGCGGCGCGATCGAAGTGGACACCTCGGGGCACGGTCCGGCGTGGCATCGCTCGGACGTGTGTGTTCTTTTTACCCAGCCATCCTGTGGTGTTGGGTCCTCGTTTTGATGGGACGGCGCCCCGTGTTCTCCTCCTCTCCTCTCCTCCTCCCCCTCCTCCCTCCTCCCTCCTCCTCTCCTCCTCCCTCCTCCTTCTCCTCCTCCCTCCTCCCTCCTCCTCCCCCTCCTCTCCCCCTCCTCTCCCCCTCCTCCCTCCTCCTTCCTCCTCCTCCTCCTCCTCCTCCTCCCCCTCCTCCTCTCCTCCCTCCTCCTCCTCCTCCTTCCTCCTCCTCCTCCTCCCCTCCTCCTCCTCCTCCTCCTCCTCCTCCTCCTCCTCCTCCTCCTCCTCCTCCTCCTCCTCCTCCTCCTCCTCCTCCTCCTCCTCCTCCTCCTCCTCCTCCTCCTCCTCCTCCTCCTCCTCCTCCTCCTCCTCCTCCTCCTCCCTCCTCCTCCTCCTCCTCCTCCTCCTCCTCCTCCCTCCGAATGTGCCCCGCGAGCACCCGTTTCCTCTCGTCGCCCAGGTGGATGCTGCCCGTCGTCGGCGGCGCGGCTGACGCTGCTGGACCTGCAGCGCGTCAACCGGCTGAGGGAGGCGTCGGTGGCCTCAGGAGGAGGGGAGGAGGTGAGGAGGAGGGGGAGGAGAGGAGGAGGAGGAGGAGGAGAGGAGGAGGGGAGGGGGGAGGGGAGGGAGGAGGAGGAGAAGTGAAGAGGAGGAGGAGGAGGAAGTGAGGAGGAGGAGGAGGAGGAGGAAGTGAGGAGGAGGAGGAGGAGGAGGAGGAGGAGGCGTGCCGCACGTGGCCTCCCAGGCGGTCTCCTCCACCATCGAGGGCGTCCACGAGGACGACCTGGCCCTCGCGCCGGGCGACGAGCTCGACGGCGTGCAGCCCTCGGCCGGCGGCGCCGCGCGCGGCAGGGCGAAGAAGCCCGTGATTCGGGAGCTCGCAGAAGCGGCTCGGAGGTGGACGGGCCTCCTACCCTGACACAGGGCGGAGGTTTTTCGCTATTTTAGGCCTCCAGAGGCCCTCGCTTGGGCCCTGGGACCATCAAAAAACGTCCCAGGATGAAATACCGGCCCCAGGGAAAGGGTCTGGACTTCCAGGGACGCCGTCCTGAGAAAATCAGGACGTCGCATGTCTAGGATTAATGCTTACTTCTACATTTCGGAGGTTGATAGACCTCCTACCCTGACACGTCGATGAAGGAGTTGGCCGTTTTCGGTTCGCGACAGGGCGTCGCGGCCGTCGTTTTTGCGGGCCCAGGTCCGGTTCCGGTCCCAGGCCGTTTTCACTAAGGGGAGGTTTGCTCAAGGGAGGTGTGTCCACCGCCGAGCGGCGCGATCGAAGTGGACACCACGGGGCACGGTCCGGCGTGGCATCGCTCGGACGTGTGTTTTTTTTGTACCCAGCCATCCTGTGGTGTTGGGTCCTCGTTTTGATGGGATGGCGCCCCGTGTTCTCCTCTCCTCTCCTCCTCCCCCTCCTCCCTCCTCCCTCCTCCTCTCCTTCTCCCTCCTCCTTCTCCTCCTCCCTCCTCCCTCCTCCTCCCCCTCCTCTCCCCCTCCTCTCCCCCTCCTCCCTCCTCCTTCCTCCCTCCTCCCCCTCCTCCCCCCTCCTCCTCCCTCCTCTCTCCTCCTATTCCTCCTCTCTCCTCCTCCTCCTCCTCCCCTCCTTCCTCCTCCTCCTCCTCCTCCTCCCCCTCTCCCCTCCTCCCTCCTCCTCCTCCTCCTCCTCCTCCTCCTCCTCCCTCCTCCTCCTCCTCCTCCTCCTCCTCCTCCGCCTCCTCCTCCTCCTCCTCCTCCTCCTCCTCCTCCTCCTCCTCCTCCTCCCCCTCTTCCCTCCTCCCTCCTCCCTAGCGCCCAGTGCAGCATTCTGTGGTCCCATAGGGAGCTCCACCGAAGGTCCCAGTAGCAGGGTTCGCATGGCGGCCGCGCCCCATTTCGACACACCCCTGACACGCTTCATGGCCCCATAGGGAGCTCCACCGAAAGCTGTATTCATAATGCGGTACCCCCAATTGCAGATGGTTGGGTCCGGCGCCCCGAATAATTTACGGCGAGGACCATCGAGGAGCACCTTGGGTCATCTTTCGAACAAACAGAAACACGCACGAAACCGACACATGCACAGGGAATAGGCGTCCGAGCGATGGCGAGGCACGATTCGGTGGCAAAGCATGGGAGCCATGTGTACCTTCGCATTGCAGTCTTTTGGGGTGCGTTCGCGTCGAGTGGCGTCTCGTAATCTCGATGAGGTACCGCCGAGGTAGCGTCGACAAGCGTGGATCAGCGTCGCTTCGCAAGGGCCAACAAGATGGCATGGGAGGCGCCCAGGAGTTGCCACCGAAGGCAAGGAAAGAATGGGCACGAAGACCGACGGCATTTCCTGTTCATTTTCAGCAGGACTCCTTGTCAGAATTCATTTTGAGCAGGATTCGTTCGAGACAGAAGACCGCATGTCCAACAGCGGCCGCCGTCGGTTTTGTTGGGCATCGTGTTCATTTTTGTCCGTACTACTTCGGGCGTCCGAGAAGAAGGCAAACCAGCATAAGCATGAACTGCGGGAGTTCCATGCGGATTCATTGGATCTGCGCTTGCCCCCCCTGGCGGATGCGCTTCTGACGCGCCCTTGGCGCGCGCGCGCTCCGCGCGCCAGGGAGGGGGCCCAGCGCAGATCCAAGAGATCCGCGCGGAGCTCCCAACATCTGCGTTCATGCAGCATGTTGTTCATCGAAGGAGGATGGGCAGGAGGAGGAGGAGGCGGAGGAGGAAGAGCAGGATGAGGAGGAAGTGAGGAGGAGGAGGAGCAGGAGGAGCAGGAGGAGGAGGAGGAGGAGGAGGAGAGGAGGGAGAGGAGGGCTCCGAGAGAGCTTCCGCTCATGCCGCTGCCGCCCTCCTCCAGGAGCGGCCCGAGCTGTGCAGGGCGCTCAGCGAGATGCTCGGGGACCTCGGCGCGGGCCCCTCGCCCTTCGAGCACCAGGACGGCGCCGCGGCGGGCGGCGCCGCGGCGGGCGGCGCCTCGCCGGGCGGCGCGGCGGGCGGGGGCGCCGGCAGCGCCGCCGGCGGCGGCTCGGCCAGTGGCCCCGAGGCCAGCCAGGATCGGTTCGGACGACAGGGGGGAGGCAGAGGAAGACAGCCCAGACACGATCGCGTCGTAACAAACATCAGGGCGGAGGTTTTTCGCTATTTTCGGCCCCTGGGGGCCCTCGCCGGGCCCTGGGACCGTCAAAAAACGAGTCAGGATGAAAAACTGGTCCTGGGGAAAGGGTCGGGACTTCCGGGGACGCCGTCCTGAAAAAATCAGGACGTCGCATGTCCGGGAAGGTATTGGCACCGCTACCCTTCGCTCGCTTTCGCCTCGTGGGGCCTCTTCTGGAGGCCCTTGTCGCCACGGCTGGATTCGCCGCGAAGTCCTGGCCAGAATGCACTCCTAGGAGAGGTCCGGGGGGTAGCAGTACTTACCGGTGACCCCCCCCCAGACATGCGACGTCCTGATTTTTTCAGCACGGCGCCCCTGGAAGTCCAGACCCTTTCCCCGGGGCCGGTTTTTCGTCCTGACTCGTTTTTTGACGGTCCCGAGGCCCGGCGAGGGCCTCCCTGGGCCGAAAATAGCGAAAAACCTCCCGTCCTGATTTTTTTACGACGCCATCATGTCTGGGCCAGGGACTGAGCGGGGGGGGGAGCGAAATCTGCTGCATACCGCTGATTTCGGCCCCGTCGCCGGGCGCTTCCCTCGATACGTGACGTGGGCGCCTCAGCGCCGGGCGGCGCCTGGAAAGCATGCCACGCGTCAGCTGCTTGTCGCAGGAGGCGACGATAGGGGCGAACAGCCCAGAGGCGGGCATGGCACGTAATCGCTGGGAGACCTCGCCGAAGATGTGCGCCATTGGGCCGCCCCTGGGTGCATTTCTTGCTCCCCCCTCCTCCACAATTATTCAATATGAATACTACTCTCCCTCTTCCCCTGGTGACGGCTTGGGAGTATTCGACCCCCCCCCCCGGCGCACTGTTTTTTACACAGGTTTCCCCGGAGTTGGGTTTTCGCCTGGCGCCGGCCTCATTTTCGGGCCCCCCCGCTGCAGCGCTGCCATCATTTCCGCCGGCGCCCGGGCTGCACGCCCGAGCCAGCGCCCGGGTTGGCGCTCCGGCCGGGTCCGGAGCCAGTTCCGGCCGCCGCCGGAAAATCGAGTTCCGAAGCGGCGCCGAAAAAAGGCCATTCTAATACACATTTTTCTTTTGAAAATGATAAATGTCTGCTTCCGGCGCCCGGGAGGCCTCCCGGGCCGATTCCGACGCCCGGGCCGGCGCCCGAGCCGGCGCCCAGGCCGGACGCCCGAGCCGGCGCCCGGGCCGGCCGCGCGGGCCGGGTCCGGAGCCGGTTCCGGCCGGCGGGCGCATGGAAAATCGAGTTCCGAGGCGGCGCCGGAAAAAGGCCACTCCAATACACATTTTTCTTTGAAAATGTTGAATGTTTGCTTCCGGCGCCCGGGAAGCCTTCGGGCCGATTCCGACGTGCTTTCGCTCGTTCCGAATCGCGCTCCCGCTGCAGCGTTGGCCTCATTTCCGCGCTTCCGCTCGTTTCGACTCGCGCTCCCGCTGCAGCGCTGGCGTCATTTCCCGTGCCATGCCACGGCATGCAAAGCAATGCTAGGTTGATACTACGCTTCGCGGTGCTCTTCTACGCCATGCCACGCCGTGCTCTACAATGCATCGCGTACCCGTTCGGGATCATTGCCCTGCTCGACATCCGACTGCGCGAGTAGAAAAGGGATCTGCGCCATGGTAAGGGATGGGAGGGAGGGGTAGGATGTCAGATATGACGCGAGCGCACCTAGCTTGACTCCTCCTCCTCCTCCTCCTCCTCCTCCTCCTCCTCCTCCTCCCTCCTCCTCCTCCTCCTCCTCCTCCTCCTCCTCCTCCTCCTCCTCCTCCCTCCTCCCTCCTCCTCCTCACTCCTCCTCCTCCTCCTCCTCCTCCTCCTCCTCCTCCCTCCTCCTCCTCCTCCTCCTCCTCCTCCTCCTCCTCCTCCTCCTCCTCCTCTCCCTCCTCCTCCTGCCTCCTCCCTCCTCCTCACCGCGCATCTTTGCCGCCCGGGTCGCGACTGTAGCCCTGCGGCACTACGGCGACGGCCCAGGCCCCCGGGGGGCGGCCGTGGGGAGCGAGGGCCGGACCCCGACCATGGCAAAGCGGTCTCTCTCCGACGCGCGCCTGGGAGCCCCTGAGCATTTCCTCCTCCTCCTCCTCCACCTCCTCCTCCTCCTCCTCCTCCTCCTCCTCCTCCTCCTCCTGACTCCTCCTCCCGACTCCTCCTCCCTCCTCGTCCTCTTACTTCTCCTCCTCCTCCTCCGCCTCCTCTTCTTCCTCCTCCACTCCTCCTCCCCCTCCTTCTCAGGGTGGAATCCATGTGGGCTTCCGCACCTCGAAAATCTCTCCGTCTTGTGATTCACTCTTTTGCAGATGCAAGCCTCGAACATCCATCGAAGCGGCATTTCAGATTTCACCCTTTGCCCTCCACCCAGAGAAATGCTCAGAGCCCGCTCGTCACCACCTACCGAACCACCCATCATCCCGAAGGCCTCAATCTGCCCTCCATTTCCAGTGGGGGGGGGGGGGGGCCGGGAACATTTTGGAAAAACACGTGGAACCCGTACCCCCCCAACCCGAAACTCGGGTCAAGTTCGGGTCTTCGGGTTGGGTTGGGGTGGTCTGGCAGGTAGTCAGCTCGCGCGAGCACTGCTCGGACGGAGACTCTGAGTCTGCATCTTCGGGGACCTCGCCTGTCCCAAACACTGGTGTCTTTTTTTGTGCCCTACGCGGGCACGATGCGGACTCGACGCAGATTCAGCGTGGATTCGACGCGGATTCGACACAGATTCGACACGCATCCGATGAGTCCGACATGGATTCGACACCGATTCGACGCGGTTGGGGCCGAGAGGGGGCAGACAAGGCCCCCCGATTTGAAAATTCGGAGGAGGATGTGCGGAGCAGAGGAAGAACGTCAGAGGAGGAAAAGGTACCCATACCGCTACCCTAGCCTTGTTTTCGCTTGTTGGTGCCTCCTCGGAGGCCCTCGTCACCACTGCTGGATTCGCTTCGAAATTCTGGTCAGAATGCACCCTGGGAGAGGTCTGGGGAGTAGCGGTATCGGTATCTTTTGGTTTCACGGGGGGGGGGGGAGAGGGAGAGGGGGGAGGAGGCAGAGAGGAAGGAGGGGGCGGAGGTGGGACTAGGAGTGGAGGAGGAGGGGAGATGAGAGGAAAGATAATGGATATCTTGGGTGAGGAGGGGGAGTAGGAGAGAGAACGAGGAGGAGGAGGAGGAGGAGGAGGAGGAGGAGGAGCACTGTTCGGAAAGAAACTCGGAGAAACTTGAGCAACGCCAGAGAACGGGGTCGTCTGCGCCGGCCTTGGCGCGCAGGCTGCTCGCGTGAGGTCGCGCGCAGGCGCCCCCCGCCCCCGGTGCGGCGTGCCGCGCTGGCGCCCCGCGCGCGAGCCGCCGCGTGAGGTCGCTGTGCCATCTCGCGCAAGACCCGTTGTTTGATAGTCGCCCATTCGGAGGAGGGAAAACAAGACAAAAAAACCTATGTTCTTAAGTTTTTGTTTTGCGTTTGTTTTTCTTTTTTTTCGCCGAGGGGCCGCCATTTCCCGGCAGGAGGCGCAGACCGAGGCCGCGGCCTTCCTGCGCAGGCTGGGCGCCGGGGCCGCCGAGGCCCGCGCCCCGGCGGAGGCCGCGGCCGGCGCCGCCGCGGGGGAGGCCGGCGCGGCTGCGGCGCCCGCGCGGCCGCGGCGGGAGCTGGGCGACCACTGGATCGCCATCGAGGATCGAGGGAGGGAAAACTAGGGGGCCACGTGCGAACCCTACCCCTACCCCCCACGATTTCTGAGGGGGAGGGTGGGGTTCACTTCGCTCGGGAGCACCCGAACGAAGTGAACCCCACCCTCCCCCTCAGAAATCGTGGGGGGTAGGGGTAGGGTGCGCATGTGACCCCAGAAACGGCATAAACAACAAAAATATACAGTCGGCCCGGATTAGTAGGTCGGCCCTGCCAAGTCAAGGGTGCCCTTGTGTCCTATCTTTGGAGGCCCGTGCCTTTCACGTTCCTATGGCGACGTAGCCCTCGGAAGGGTCCTGTGCCCTCTCGCGTGTCCTGTCCAATCGAGTCCGACTGTAACTATCGACGCTCCGCGCGGACTTCTCGGATCCGCGCTGGGCCCCCCCCCCTGGCGCGCGCGATCGGGGGTCCAGCGCAGATCCAAGAAGGAAGCCGCGCGGAGCGTCGAACGTTTTTTATGCTTATGCCCTCGTTTTCCTTCCTCCAGAGGAGCACGGGCTCGGCCCCGAGGCCCGGCATCGCTTGGCCCGGAGACCAAGAAGCGGCACAAGCACAGAAGCTTTCGGGGCCGTCGCTCCCCATCCCCACCTGGGACGGTTCCGGGGCACAGACAACGACGGTTTGGGAGGGAGCAGGCAACAACAGAAGCTTAGGTCGGGCATGACCCTCTGCAGGAAGAAGGCTCGAGAGTAGTAAAAGGAATGACCTGGTGATGATTTCTCGTGCTCGTTGACTATGTTTGGTTCTTACTCGGCACTTGTTTCATTTGTCGTCCAAAATCCGCCTGCAGGAGGACATGCCCGACCTAAACATTAGCATAAAAGCTGGGAGCCGCTGCCGCTGTGCGGAGGAGGAGGAGGAGGAGGGGGAGGAGGAGGAGGAGGAGGAGGGGGAGGAAGAGGCGGAGGAGGAGGAGGAGGAGGAGGAGGAGGAGGAGGAGGAGGAGCTTTCCCCAGCACCGGCTCCCCCTCCTGGATCGTTCCTCGCCGGCCCCAGGGGCCCGACGGAGGGCCCCCCCCCCCCAGAGGCCGAGAGCGGCCGAGCACCTCCCAGCCCTCAGGATTGCTCGACGCGAGCATGTCTGGATTTGCCTTCCGTCGGGCACGTGCCTCTACCGGGGGGAATACTAGTTAGAGAATGCGTAGTCGATTCGAATCTGTTTGAGCACGCCCTCTACCGGGGGAATAGTGAAGATTACGTAGTCAATTCGAATATGTTCTAGCATTTTCGGGGGGATTCTGTGGACTATGTTTCATATCTTCCGTGCTAAAGCCGCCTGTGCGAGGACACGCCCGACCTGAGATTTGCTCCCCCCGCTGTGGGAACCCAGGCCCTCTGCGGGGATGGTTCGCCACACGCAGAGGGGGGCAATAAAGGGGGGGGGAGGGGGGAAGGCTTCGTCGCAGGAGGCTGCCTCTTGGCAGGCGCGCGCCCTGTCCGTGGAGAAGGCCCCCGCGCCCTCTGAGAAGCGGCCTCCTTCCAAGAAGACTTCCCCCCTCCGCCCACCCCTCTGCGCGCCGCCAGTTACCAGCCTGAAACATATCCCTATCCCTATGCTGGGCACCTCCTCATCACGATGTCAATCTTAGGGATTCCCTGATTTTTTGAGGGCGAATCCCTGAGATTGTCATCGCCTTTTGGCGTGTCAATCTTAGGGATAGGGATACGTTCGAGGCTGGTAAGCCAAGACGGGGACGGGCCCGACGATGCCGGGAGGCCGGTGGCTTCGTGCGGTGGGACGCGCCGCAGGCGAGGGCGCCCGAGGCGGCCGCCCCCGCGGCGCCGCCGGAGGGGGCCTCCGCGGGCTTCTTCTCGTTCGACACGCCGGTGGAGAGCATCAAGCAGGCGTCATTCAAGAGGGAAAGAAACACACAGACACAATTAATCGTCGACTCTTAGGAAAATATGGGGAAATATGGGAATTGTGGAGAAGACAAAAACCCAGAAAGTATAGGGAAATATGGAGGCGTCAAGCAGGCGTCAGCAGCCCCTCGGGCCGGGCGAAAAAGGGGGGGATTGGGAAAGGGGGGGGTACGAAATCTGCTGCGTGCAGCTGGTTTGGGGCCTCACCGAGGGGTCCATTCCTCGATACATGGCCGCCTCCGGCGCCGGGAGGCGCCGGGAAAATCAGCTACTTGAGCTGCTTCTCAAACCCCCCCTTTGCTATCCCCCCCGTTCGCCCGACCAGAGCCACGCGCAGACGGGGGTGGGGGGAGGGGGGAGGGCTTCTTTGTAGCACCCCTGCTTCTTGGAAGGCGCGGCCCTTCTCTCTATAGATGTAAGGCCGGCGCCTTCCAAGAAGCAGCCTCCTTCAAAGAAGCCCTCCCCCCTCCCTCCACCCCCTTGTGGGCGCCGCCAACGTCAGGGAAGATAAGCGCTCCTCGCGGGTCCCGAGGGCAGCGGGTCCCGAGGTGCTTCGCCGTTTTCGGGCTTCCGGGGCCCTCCACGGGCCCCGGGGCTGTCAGAGAACGACTCAGGATGACGATCTCGTCCTCGGGGAAGCCCCAGGGTCCAGGACCCGTTTCCCTCAGGACCCGTTTCCCCCGTGCTAAGAAGAAGAAGAAGAAGAAACAGACACATCAGAAGAATTATTCACTGCGTGGAGCTCCCCATATGTGCATCTATTCGCATGGACCTGACCGCCGTGAATGTCTAGGCGCAAGAGCTTTCGAATATAAGCGGGCTTCAGTTGTGATGGTCTGGACATGAATCTAACTGCGAATGAATTGGAGTGTGAATGAGCCTCAGTAGTACGAGCGCGTCTCTGCGCATGAGCCTGGGGCCTCCTGGGGCCTCCTGAAACATACTGGGGCTTCCTGGGGTCTCCAGGAGCCTCTTGGGGCCTCCTGGGACCTCCTGGGGAGGTTTCGTGTCCCAGGATGATGTTACAGGCGGCCTGGATTAGGTCGACCCTGCCAGATCGAGGGTACCCTCTTGCCCTGTGTCTTGTGACCCATGCCTCCTGCATCTCTGTGGCAACGTGACCCTCGGAAGGGCCTTGTGTCCTTTCGCGTGTCCTCTCCAGTCAAGTCCGACTGTAGGCTCCTGCTCAGGAGGGGAAAAAACGCACAGACACAATGAATCCTCGATTCCCCGCAAAATATGGGAAAATATGCGAAGTGGGGAGAAGACAAAAACCCAGGAAACATGGGGAAATATGAGGAATAGCTTTATTCGTGTGCATTTCTTTGTGTGTCCTGGGGCCCCTTCACTTGCGCGTAGCCGATTACATGCCGCTGCCCTGCAGGCCCGCGGCGGCGCCGCGCCCGCCCGCCCGGCCGCCCCGGAGCCCGCCGCCGCCCCGGAGCCCGCCGCGGCCGGGCCGGCCGCCGCGGGCGCGGGCCACGGCGCTCCGGGAGACGCGGGCGCTCGGCGGGCACCGGCTATACGCCCGCGCCGCCCCCTCCCCCCCTCCTCCTCCTCCCCCTCCTCCTCCTCCTCCTCCTCCATTTCTTCTCCTCCTTGATTTTCTCTTCCTCCATTTTCCCTCCTCCTCCTCCTCCTCCTCCTCCATTTCGTCTCCTCCGTGATTTTCTCTCCTCCTCCTCCTCCTCCTATTCCATTTTCTTGTCCTCCTCCATTTTCTTCTTCTTATCCTCCTCTTCTTTACGTTGGACAAGCGCTGGCTTGGAAGAGCCGTCGCGTCTTGGTGGCAGCGATCCGAGAAGAAACTGTTCAGAGCACAGCGCTCGATAAAATATGGGCCAGGACATGGTACTGCAGCAGCGCGCGTCGGCGAGAACCAAGATATGCAAGACAGTTGGGAGCAGCAGAGAGGCCTCCAATCTACCCGACCCTCCCAAAGAGCATGTGTGCCCCTTAACGAAGGCCTACAGTGCACAGGGCCTCAGATCTTATGCCCTGAGCTCGATTCGGGCCAATGCACTGATGCCCGTCAAGCTGGATTGAAACGGTGCCGAGGCCAAAGGTCTTGGCGGTCAACATGCTCGTAGCGGTCGTGACTGCCAACATGTTCAGCAACCGAGCGCCTGCAATGAATGTCATCTCCTCCCCCGCCCGTTTTTTTCAATCCTACTACATAATTACTCCCCCCTTTCAATGTCTCGGGCATCAAGACTGATGGCAGAAAGAACCAGCATCTCATACATCGTCTCGAGCGCCGCTGCGCAGAAAGAACCGGCGCTCATACATCGCCAGCAGCGGCCTCATTCTCCAGGAGTTTTCTACGATCATGCGTATGGTGTGGGAGAGCGGTACGAAGGTGGCACTCCCCTACTCTGTGTTTTGACACCGCCCCTGGAGGGCGAGAGTGTTAGGGCGAGGCCAAGAGATGCACAGCGCCTCCACAATGAAGGCATACAGGGTTCATCGAGCGTTTCGCTGGGACCTTGATGGACCCCGCCCCTCGGGGTATAGTGAATCCCCCGTAGCTGGACGCAAGGAAGCAAGCTGGACGCCGAGGCCTGTGATCTCACCTCAACACGGGGTGGATTTAGCTCACACTCGGCGCCGTGCCAATCGTCTACGCCACCGCGGTCGACGACAGGCTCCACCCACACGCACTTTCTCAGATAGCTGGCGGGTGAGGAGCCTTGCCTCGTGCACTTGGAAGAATATCTCTAGATACCTAACGGAAGAGCAGCTTTACTCCTAGGCCCTACGGCACGGGAGGCCTCCGACAGAGCCGGCGCCCAGTGGCAGTTCGAAGTGGATCGGTTGGTGGCCGCACTTCTCCAAGACGAGTCCGGAAAGCGGCTGCATGCAGTCAGCCTTTATGGCCCCACGTGGATCCGCCGCTGAGCTCAAAGAGTGGCATGGCAGAGTGCTGCATTTTCACGAAGATGGTTGCGGATTGGGGGGGTGCAAGTTCGGGGTAATTAGAGACTTGAACGTCCGTCGTGGAGCCGATTGGCAGTTCGAGGGTCGTCACTCTGGTCAGCGCGCTCTGAGTACAGCCGAGAACCCCTGCAGGAAAAAACGGTGGTCTTTATTCCAATTGACGTCCCTGGCACATGCAGATAGTTTCTGCCTCTTTTACAGAAAAAGTACGTGGATCCATCCTCATACGTATCAATAGTACGAGCTGGACGGGCTGTTGATTTCTACCACACATCGCAGGCGCGTCCGAACTCTTCGTCTGCATACGCGTCATCGTATTTCGGATCATGTCGTCCGCGCGTATAATCTACATCTGGGACCTGTCTCCCAAGCGCGAGGGGCCATCCTACCTGTCAAAAACCATACAAAGTCGATCTTTTTTTTCTCAGTGGGGACTTTCTTGTCGTCGGCTTTGCGAAATGCGTGGCAGGAAGGGGGCGCGGTGCACATCGCGCGCGACACGGCGAAATGTTGTTTTCGCTTCGGCGCCGCGCGCATGTTTTCTGACAGTTGCGTTCCTGCTACGGCGCGGCGCGCATTTTTCGCTCGCCAATTCGTTGAGCACCAAGGGCCCCCTGGGGCCTCCCAGGGTCTCCTGGGACATCCTGAGGCTTCCCGGGGCTTCCCCAGGGCCTCGTAGATCCTCCTGCAGCCTCCTGGGGCTTCCTGGGATTCCCGGGGGGCTTCCAGCACTTCCTAGGGCTTCCTGAAGCCTTTTGGAATTACCTGGGGCTTCCTGGGCCCTTCTGAAGCCTCCTGGGGCTTCCTGGGGGTCGCTGGGGCTTCTCCTGAGGCCGCCTCCTGAGGTTTCCTGGGGCATCCTCGGCCCGTGCTGAAATGCTAGCGCAGTCTTTGAGACTCGCCAGGGGTTCTTATCGGTGGCCGCCATCAAGGCTACATCAGCTGTGGCAAACCACCTCGCCGATCTGATTTCGGTCCCCAGTTGCGCCAGTACTGTTTCTTATGTTGTGGGAGGGCGGGTGGGAGTGGGCATGCCATGCTTGACTCGCTCGAGCTAGCCAGCTTGACTCCTACTCCGATCCTTATTCTTTATTCGAAGATACTCTTACTCCCCCCTTTGGCCAGCCAGGAGGGGTTCCATCCGGGCCCTCCCGTCCGAACTATAAAAAATGAGCCTGGCGAAAGACCCAACGATATGCAGTTGTGAGTTCCGCAATTGTGAATATCTTCTTCGGTGGCGCCCCCTTATGTGGCCACGAAGCGCTGTAGTGGGTGGGTGAAACGCAGGGAACAAGGGCCGTTTTGGGTAGTGGCGGACGCATGCGGGCGGTGCCAGTGCGACCTTCCGTGGAGCTCCCTATGGGGCCACGGAACGATGTACTAGGTGGGTGGAACGCAGGGAGCAAGGGCTTTGTTGGGTGGTGGTGGACGCATGCGGGCGGTGCCACTTGGACATTCGGTGGGGCCCCCTTTATGGGGCCAGGAAGCGCTGTGCTGGGTGGGTGAAGCGAAGGGAGCAATTGCTGTACTGGGTGGTGGCGGGCGCATGCGGGCGGTGCCACTGGGACCTTCGGTGGAGCTCCTTATGGGACCACGAATCGCTGTGCTGGGTGGGTGAAGCGAAGGGAGCAATTGCTGTACTGGGTGGTGGCGGGCGCATGCGGGCGGTGCCACTGGGACCTTCGGTGGAGCTCCTTATGGGACCACGAAGCGCTGTACTGGGTGGGTGCAACGCAGGGAGCAAGCGGAGCCCCCTTTGGGGCCACGAAGCGCTGTAGTGGGTGGGTGAAACGCAGGGAGCAAGGGCTGTGCTGGGTGGTGGCGGACGCATGCAGGCGGTGCCACTAGGACCTTCGGTGGAACCCCCTTGTATGGGGCCACGAAACGCTGCACTGGGTGGGTCAAACGCAGGGAGCAAGAGCTGTGCTGGGTGGTGGCGGAAGCATGCGGGCGGTGCTACTGGGACCTTCGGTGGAGCTCCTTATGGGACCACGAAGCGCTGTACTGGGTGGGTGAAACGCAGGGAGCAAGCGGAACCCCTTTTGGGGCCACGAAGCGTTGTACTGGGTGGGTAAAACGCAGGGAGCAAGGGCTGTGCTGGGTGGTGGCGGACGCATGCGGGCGGTGCCGCTGGGACTTTCGGTGGAGCCCCTACGGGGCCACGAAGCGCTGTGCTGGGTGGTTGAAACGCATGGAAAAGGGAGGAGGGAGGAGGAAGGGGGAGGAGGGGGAGAGGAGAAGAGGAACGCGGGGACCGTGTCTTCAAAACGAAGACCCAGCTCACAGGATGGTTGGGAGTCAATGAGAAGTCGTCGTTGTTTCTCTCAGCATGGCTTCTTTTGTCGTCGACGATGCGAAGTGCGCAGCAGGAGTGGCACGCGGCGCACATCGCGCGCGGCTGTCAATCCGGGCCTTCCCATCCTAAGTGTAGAAATGCATGCAGACTCGTCGTTGTTTCTCTCAACATGGCGTGTCTTGTCGTCGACGATGCGAAACGCGTCGCAGGAGTGGGGAGCGGCGCGCATCGCGCGCGGAGGTCCGGGGCACCCCCAAGCGGGAGGGGCCATCCTACTTGTCAAAAGCCATACAAAGTCGCCCTGTTTCTTCTCAGTGGGGATTTTCTAGTCGTCGTTTTTTTGCGAAGTGCGTGGCAGGAAGGGGGCGCGGTGCACATCGCGCGCGACAAGGCGAAATGTTGTTTTCGCTTCGGCGCCGCGCGCATGTTTTCTGAAAGCTGCGTTCCCGCTAAGGCGCGGCGCGCACTTTTTGCTCGCCAAGTCGTCGGGCGCCCAGGGCCCCCTGGGGCCTCCCAGGGTCTCCTGGGACATCCTGAGGCTTCCCGGGGCTTCCCCAGGGCTTCGTGGATCCTCCTGCAGCCTCCTGAGGCATCCTGGGGCTTCCGGGGATTCATTTCCCGGGGGTTTCCAGCACTTCCCAGGGTTTCCTGAAGCCTCCTGGAATTACCTGGGGCTTCCTGGGCCCTCCTGAAGCCTCCTGGGGCTTCCTGGGGGTCGCTGGGGCTTCTCCTGAGGCCTCCTGGGGCCTCCTGAGGCTTCGTGGGCCTCCTCGGTTCGTGCTGAAATGCCAGTGCAGTCTTTGAGACTCGCCAGGGATTCTTATCGGTAACCGCCATCGCGGCTGCATCAGCTGTGGCAAACCACCTTGCCGATCTGATTTCGGTCGCCAGTTGCGCCAGTATTGTTTCTTATGTTGTGGGAGGGCGGGTGGGAACGGGCATGCCATGCTTGACTCGCTCGAGCTGGCTAGCTTGACTCCTCCTCCTCCTCCTCCTCCTCCTCCTCCTCCTCCTCCTCCTCCTCCTCCTCCTCCTGGCGAGGCCGATCCTGGCCCCAGGATGAGCCTGGCCAGGATCGGCGCTGGCTGGCGCCCTCCCAGGCGCCTTCAGCTTCCTGCCGCAGCTGACCGTGGTGTGCGCTGCGGAGCTCGTCGGCGCGCGAGCCCGAGATCCTGGCGTCGCACTGTTTTCGCAACGGGCGATTTTGCCTCGTTCCTGGGGCCCTCGCAACACCGACCAGGCTCGAAAGATGCAGCAGAGAGGTGGGCTCCAAGGCCGGGGTCGAGATGTTCCACGATGTTGCGATTTTTGGCTCGTTTCGGGGGCCCTCACAAACACACCGACCAGGCTCGAAAGAGGCGGCAGAGAGGTGGGCTCCAGGGCCAGGGTCGCGATGTTCCGCGATGTTGCGATGTTTGTTGACGTCGGATCTCAGGGGGGGACAGAGGGGACAGATCTCCGACGCGATTTGCTCAGTCCCGGTGCTTTCCCTCCGTTTCGGCCCCGGGGCTCGGCATCGCTCGGACGTGTGCATTTTTCCTTGGGCGAGGACCCTCGAGGAGCATCCTTGATCAGTCGGCGAAACAATCACGCACGAGGCCGAAAGAAGCACACGGAGTGGACGTCCGAGCGATGGCGAGGGGGGGTCCGTCGTCGGGCCCCGGCGCCACCAACAGCATGTCTGCGACGAAGACATGCCCCGGGGGAAAGAGTCGGGACCTCTGGGGCTGCGGACTGAAAATCGGGGGCGGAAAAGAGGGGGGTGATGACTAGGGGGGGTGGATATCATGGCGCGGGCCATGATATTTCCCCAGATTTCATGGCGCCTCTTCTTATTCCATTGCGTCCCTGGCCCCCCCGCTGGGCCGCGCACATGCCGCCGGCCATGATTTGCACCCCCCCCTCTTTGGCGCCCCCCTCTTTGCCGCTCCCGATGAAAAAACACATCGTCGGACGTCTGGGAAAGGGGCCTGGGGGAGGGGCCGGAGGTGTCTGGGCGTGTCTGGCGCACTTCCCGGTGTCGGGGGTCGGGCCCCTTCTCTTTGGTGGGAGGGCTCCTCGCCGCACTGGGAGGGGCGTCAAGCAGGGGCCGCCCGAGTCTTCGCACGTGACGGGCGGTGCGTTGCTCATGGTGGGGCCACGGGTTTCCAAGAGGCTTAACTAGCTTGCACGATCGAAGACGCCTACGGCGAATCACCGCCGCCCCCTGCCTTTTTGGAAGCGCCTATGTGGCCGAACGTTGAGGCCAGACCTGCCAAGCTGTCGGACCATGTGTTCCTCGAATCGGTTTGGAAAGCCTTCGGGGAACACGTGGGCATCTTGAAGGCCATCTTGGCCGCCTGGAGGCTATGTTGACCCTTTCGGGCCTTCTTGGAAGACGTCGTGAGGGCTCGTGGGCCGTCTTGGAGGCCATCTTGAGCGTCTTGGAGGCCTCTTCGGCCGTCTTGGGGGCCTCTTGGGGCCGTCTTGGGCACCTCGTAGGCCGTTCTGGGGCCATCTTGGAGGCGTCTTGGGCGATCCTTGGGCGATCTTGGGCCGTATCGGTCCGTCGGAAGGCCGAAACGAAGCAAATGTCAAAATCCTTCAAAAACCTACGGAACATCACTCTTTTTGGCCTTTTCTGGCCTTCCTGGAGGCCCTCTTGGAGGCCTCTTGGGCCGTCTCGGGCCAGCTGCGAGCCGACTTCGGCCATCTTGGTGGGCTCCTGGCCCGTCTGACGCCGTCGGAAGCCGTTTGGGGGGCCTTTCTGGGCCGACTTGGGGCCCTCTTGGAGTGCTCCAGGGCCGTCTTAGAGGCCATCTTGGGCGTCTTCGAGGCCTCTTGGGCCATCTTCGAGCCCTCTTGGGACGGTCTTGGGAGCGTCTGGGGCCGTCACGGGGCCATCTTGGAGGCCTTTTGGACGATCTTGGGGCGATCTTGGGAGCCTCTCGGGCCGTCGGAAAGCCGAAAAGGCGCAAATGCCAAAATCCTTCAAAACCCTACGGAAATCAACGATTTGGGCCTCGTCGGGCCTTCCTGGAGGACCTCTTGGAGGCCTCTTGGGCCGTCTTGGAGGCCTCTTGCGGGCCTCTTGGGCCGTCTTGGACCATTTTGAGGCTACCTTAGGCCGTCTTGGGTGCTTCTTGGACCGTCTTGGAGGCATCTTGGGGCCATCGTAGCCGTTTCGGAGGGCATCTTGGCCGTCTTGGAGGCATCCTGGAGGCCATCTTGGGCCGTCTTGGGGCCGTCGAGGGCAGGAAAACCGTTTGCAGCCACCTCTGGGCAAGCCTCCCGGGACCCCGGCGGAAGGCGACGGAGCCCCAGGGGGAGTTCTTTTGGAAAAGGAACCAAAACCAAAACCGAAAGGGTCTAGCACGCCAGGCACCCCTGCGATGAATCGACAGGGGGCGGCGGATCTAGATAGTGGCCTTCGGCACATCTCGCCACCGTGACTGGGTTGTGGGCCAGAGACCTCGTGGATACCTGCCAGGGTCTCTCGAGGTGCTTCTTCTTTGAGGCCTCTTGAAGGGCCCCTGGGGTGGCCTCCTCGGGGCGGGCGCCTTTGGAAGCCTCCTGGGCCGTATTGGGGGCCCTCTGCACGGTTCCGGGAGCCTTCAGGGATTCCCGGAGGCTCCTGCGGAGGGCTCGATGATCCTCAGGACGCGTGTTAGCCCAAGCGTGTGTCCCTGGTCGGCTCCGCCGATAGCGCGCAGCCTGAAGAGCAGCAGCATGAGGAGCAGCAGCAGCAGCAGCAGCAGCAGCAGCAGCAGCAGCAGCAGCAGCAGCAGCAGAAGGAGCAGCAGAAGGAGCAGATGGAGGAGCAGCAGCAGCAACAGGAGGAGCGGCAGGAGGAGCGGCAGCGGCAGCAGCAGGAGGAGCACGCCCGGACGCTCCTGCGGAAGGGGAGGCCCGCCACCTCGGGGCGAGGCGCGGGGCGGCCCCGCTTGCCGAAACGGCACGGGGGGGGGGGGGCCTTGCCGCATGGGCCTCGCCCCTCCGGGGGCCGCCCGGCCCACGCCCCCCGCGGGAGGCTTGGGACCCCTGTCGGGCGGCCGCCCCCTCGCGCGGCCCCGCCCCGCGCCTCTGCGGCGCCGAGGGGCAGAGGGCCACGGCACTCTGGCGGCCCCGCCCCTCGAGGGCCCGCTGGGCCCGCGCCCCCCCGGGGGAGGCTCGGGCGCCCTCGCACGGCCGCCCCTCCCGCGCCGGCCCCTCCCCCCCGTGCGCGCGGCGCCGAGGAGAAGAGGGCAACGGCACTCCGGCGAATGAAGGTGGTCTCGGCAACACCCCAACATACTTATACTATATGTGCGTCGCCCCCCCAGGGGCGACGCGCGCACCGAGAAATCTTATAGTATATGCGTCGTGGCGTGCACTTTCTGGCCACACCGCTCGGGAAACGATATACTACAAGATGGGTATACTACATATTCGGGTCGGACGCGCGCATTAGTATGTCTCTGTGCGTCCCATGGTCGGGGGCTGCGTCGTGGGAGGGGGGGTACAAACAGAAGGGGGGGGGGGCGAGGCAAGGTGCACGTGGTGTGCCCTGGAGGGGGCCCCCCGGGCTCAAGAGCGGCACGGAAGGTGGCGACTTTTAGATTCGCACCGTGACATCGGCCCCGGCGAAGCGAGACTCCTCCTCCTCGTTTTGCTCGTCCTCCTCCGTCCTCCTCCTCCTCCTCCTCCTCCTCCTCCTCCTCCTCCTCCTCCTCCTCCTCCTCCTCCTCCTTCTGCTCCTCCTCCTCCTCCTCCTCCTTCTGCTCCTCCTCCTCCTCCTCCTCCTTTTGAAAGGCCCCTGGGGGGCCTCCTCGGGGCGGGCGCCTTTGGAAGCCTCCTGGGCAGTATTGGGGCCCTCTGCACGGTTCCGGGAGCCTTCAGGGATTCCCGGAGGCTCTTGCGGAGGGATCGATGATCTTCAGGACGCGTGTTAGCCCAAGCGTGTGTCCCTGGTCGGCTCCGCCGATAGCGCGCAGCCTGAAGAGCAGCAGCATGAGGAGCAGCAGCAGCAGCAGCAGCAGGAGTAGCAGCAGCAGCAGCAGCAGCATGAGGAGCAGCAGGAGGAGCAGCAGGAGGAGCAGCAGCAGCAGCAGGAGCAGCAGGAGGAGCGGCAGGAGGAGCGGCAGCAGCAGCAGCAGCAGCAGCAGCAGCAGCAGGAGCAGCAGCAGCAGGAGGAGCACGCCCGGACGCTCCTGCGGAAGGGGAGGCCCGCCACCTCGGGGCGAGGCGCGGGGCGGCCCCGCTTGCCGAAACGGCACGGGGGGGGGGGGGCCTTGCCGCATGGGCCTCGCCCCTCCGGGGGCCGCCCGGCCCACGCCCCCCGCGGGAGGCTTGGGACCCCTGTCGGGCGGCCGCCCCCTCGCGCGGCCCCGCCCCGCGCCTCTGCGGCGCCGAGGGGCAGAGGGCCACGGCACTCTGGCGGCCCCGCCCCTCGAGGGCCGCCGGGCCCGCGCCCCCCCGGGGAGGCTCCGGGCGCCCTCGGACGGCCGCCCCTCCCGCGCCGGCCCCTCCCCCCCGTGCGCGCGGCGCCGAGGAGAAGAGGGCAACGGCACTCCGACGAATGAAGGTGGCCGGGGGCTGCGTCGTGGGAGGGGGGGTGCAAACAGAAGGGGGGGGGGGCGAGGCAAGGTGCACGTGGTGTGCCCTGGAGGGGGCCCCCTGGGCTCAAGAGCGGCACGAAAGGTGGCGACTTTTGGATTCGCACCGTGACATCGGCCCCGGCGAAGCGAGACTCCTCCTCCTCGTTTTGCTCGTCCTCCTCCGTCCTCCTCCTCCTCCTCCTCCTCCTCCTCCTGCTCCTCCTCCTCCTCCTCCTCCTCCTCCTCCTTCTGCTCCTCCTCCTCCTCCTCCTCCTCCTCCTCTGTGAGGCTTCGAGCTTGCCCGCAGCCGTGCCATGCGGCAGGCGAGAGGTCCAAATGTCAGGAAGTTCGCAGCATCTCAATCCGTTTTGGGGCGTCCATCACGACGCCATGGCGCCCGCGCCGTGGGCCAAGCAGGACGGGATGTACAAGTGGCGTGTGCACAAGAAGTCTGGTGGGCCTCTGACGAATTCTGGTACAATGATCGTTGCTCCACATGCAAGATTCACCTGGCTGCCAGTTTCAAGTGTGCACGTCCAAGCTACTAGTGCCGCCCGCGGTACCAACGAGAACTCAGGGGCCATCGGAAAACTGGAAATCGCTTTGGGGAGCTGGAGAACGAAAGCGTTCCCTTCAAAGGCGTGCCGGCAGGACACCAATCCGACCTGGCCTTGCATGAGCCTGCCGAATTCAGAGAAGTGATCGACGGTTTGGCTAAGCATGTGCGGTCGTTGTTAGTTGGAAACTATCGAAAATGATTGGACTAAGCCTCAGTTGTTTGTAGCTCAGGCCTCACTGGAGAAGGTTCGCACGAAGCTACATGAGAACAAGCCCTTGGGAACGACACTCAGCGTATTATCGCGCAGAGTGGAGCATGACCGCAAATAGAAAGAAAACACAATTATTGACCGTGCAGCAGCCCAGGCAGCACTTGAAGCAGCTCAGAAGGCACTGGCATTTGCAAGCGCGGTGATTCAAGAGAAAAGGCAAGCCTACGAGAAGCTGGAGACCAAATTGGAAGAATTTACGCAGAAGGAAAGGACACAGAGGAGTTCCTGGCTGACGGAGTCCAGCTGGACAATGTCATCACTGGCGCGGCAGGCATTGAGCGGCCCCAGAAAGGCTGCCCCATTATTTGTCGCAGCTCTACGCATTCAGGGCCGCGAGATACCTGACGAGCCTGCTCGAACGACTCCGCGCAGAGGCAAGGCACAGCTCCGCGGGGACCATAACTAATAAATTACATCACTACGAGCGGCAGCCAACGGTTTGGAGGAAGAGGCCGCCGAAGAAAGCGTTGTCAGATCCCGTGTGCGTTCTCTGGCAGCAGGATGATTTCGGCCACATTAGCAGTCACCTTGTTGGACAGCCAGCAAACCAAGGGGGCAAGCCTCGCAACAAATGCCGGTTCAAGCAAATTCAGACCCAAGTGCGGGGCCATGACAAGCCCGACTGCTCGCAGCTACAGCTGTCAGATTACCGGGACCCAGAAGAGCCCGCAGCGACAGCGAGCAACCTTTCAGATGACCAGACCGAACCCATTTGGTGCAGCATGTTCAACCATGAGTTGATCAGCGAACTCGAGCGGGCTGCAGATTCGCAGCCGACGAAATCGATGCCAATTCCGACCACACTGTCTCTCACGTCGCAAAACAAACAGCCATGTTTGGAGCACCATGCAGAGTCTGCTGGAGTGGATTGCATTAGACAAGAGCGACCAGCCCGTCGTGATGTTCGCTCGGGAACACCGGCTACGCAATGGTGACCAGATGAGGTCCGCCCAGAGCTGGGCGCGCGCGCGGGGCTACAAGTCCCCGGCAGACGGACGCGCAGTGATTGGCAAGATGATAACGGAGACTTCGAGTGGAGTCAGAATCCCGACGCGGTCGAACACCCCGGGCATCGGGCACAAGTCGGAGACCGAGCACAACGGGTCCAGACTGTTGGCCAGCGCGCCACGCTGGGGGCGGGCATGCGCTGCTCGTCTCGGTCTACGCGACTTGCAGCGTAGGGGAGGCTGGCGACGTCGATTTGTTGGCGGCGTTGCCCGATCCGTCGCGGCAGGAGATCGGGGCGTCGAGGCCGAGGTTTTCGGTCGCGATTCGTTTCTGCGAGCGGGCTATCTCAGCTGAGCGCCGAGGTCGGGCGCGGCGGCGAGACAGCGCGCGGCGATCAGTTATCATTGCGATTGTGTTCGCGCCCAGTGTCTCGGCGCGCCGGGGGCCGCGACTGCCGGCGCCCAGGGCTGCGAAACTTGTCCCGGGAGGCCTCGGGGGCCCGAATTTCTTCGTCCGTCGGCTGAAACCCAAGGTGTTTCCCACGCCCCAGTTGGAGCCCACTGCCCCGCTGTCGCGCGGCAACTGCATTGGGGGAGGCCACGGGGGGCAGAGCGTTTACGCAGTTGAGAGGTTCGCGAATTCAGCGCGGGTCGGACTTGAAGTCGCATAAAGCGCGCGCTCCCCAATCGCAAGCATGGTGCTATATGTGGACCGAGGGCGCGTTGCTTCCCGCCGCCGCCCCCCCCTTGCTCCGCCCCCCCCCCTTCGCCCCCCCTTGAATGGCGTCGAGAGCGCCCGCGTCTCGGGCGGGGGGGCGCCCCTTTCCGCCCCCCCCTCACCCCCCGCCCCCCTTTGCCCCCCTGCCCCGCCGTCCTTCGCCCCACATGGCCCCGCCTCTTCGTTCGAAGAGGGGCGATGAAATCCCCGGCGCCGTGCGCTCGCATCGGCGATAGTCCGCCCGTTTGATGCCCGAGCACAGCGGCGCAACCAAGCGGAGTGGATCGGCAGCGCAAGCGCTCGGGGCGCGTTCCAAGCTCGGGCGGCACCGGCCGCCAAGCGCGCGCGGGCGCCCGCGGCGAGGCCCGCCCCCGCGCCGAGATGGCGATCTGCATGGCGACGCGCGGAGCTCTGACTGTTAAGGGGCCCGTGACACGTGGCGCCTCTCGTGTTCTCGGAGTGCCGCGAGGCCTTCTCCGGGGCCCTGCGGAGCCCTCTCGGGAAGTCCCCAGGCCGTCGGGGGCCGCTTCGGCGCCGCTTCTTACCGCGGCCGCCCTAGGTCGGGCGAGCGCGCACACGCGGCCCTCTCGGGGCCGCCCCGGGCCAGGGGCGCGCGCATTTGCACTCCCCCCCTCTGGGTCGGCATAGTCGGGGCGCCCTCGAGATGGCGAGCGTTCATTTTTCGAAAAGCACGCATCGAGGCGTGATCTGCGCGCGCAGCTGGCGCCCTCAATCGCGCGCGCGCGGGCAGTTCGCGCGTGCATTTGCGCGCGCAATGCGCGTCGCCCGCTGGGGCGGCCAGGGCGAGCCCAAAAAAGATATCGACCTGGGCGCGCAATGTTCCGGGATTGTTGACCAGGGTTCATAATGCCCCCCCCTCCCCCCCCCCCGGAGCATTACGAACCCGGGTTTCAATATTCCCGGACGCATTGATTGGGTCTCATAATGTCCTCCAGAGCATTATAAATTTCGGCTTGGAATGTTCCTGGAATATCGATCGACCCCCGTCATGTTCGCCATGTTCTGCGGATATTTACGGGGGTTTATAATGTCTCGGGCATAACGAATCCAGGCGCATTTTTTTGAATGATAATAACGAGACCGAGGGGCGTCGCCTGAGGCATGGGCGGACATTCTGAGTCCAGATTTGCGATTCCGGATTGATTTTAATTATTATTCCCCGCGCCTCCAAACTGGGATTCGTTATGTTAGCATATTGGTCCTAATCCGCCATGTCTAGAACATCATATATACGGGTTCATAATTGCCTGGGAATGAGAAAGTCAGGTGTAGCATTTCTGAATGATAATGGTTAGGCGGAGGGGGGGGCGCCAGAGAAGGAGCTCAGACCGGGATCCACCCTGGTTCCTTACGTCGGAATATCGATGCCAGATGCATCCGGACTGAACGTGGTCCGGCGATGGGGGGGGGCACCGACCCATCCACGGGGCAATAATCCAGTGCGGGCATCATCTGCGCACAACGAACCTAGGTTTCTCATTCCTAGATAACAGACCACGGTCGACGAGGATTTTGCGCCCACCCTCGGAGGGCCACTGGGCGAGGTTGTCGCGGGCCCCCCGGCCGGCCCAGGAGGGGGCCGCGGTTTGGGGGTGGAAGGCGCGGGGGGGCGGGGGCGCTGGGCCGCGGGGGGAAGGCGTTCGAGAGGAGGGGCGGCGAAGGGGCCGGGGGGCGACAGGGGCGGGGCGAGAGGAGGGGAAATGGGCCGGGGAGGAGCCGCATCAGAGGCGCCCGCGCCGCGAGGGCGAGGAAGGCGGGGGGGGCAGAAGGAGGGGGGGTGATCTGCACTACGCAGGGCGCAGAGGATGAGAGGAAGGCAGGGATGTGGATGGCGGGGGAACGCGTCCGGCAGAGGACGCCGAGGAGGAAGTGACATGATGGGGGCGTTGAGAACGAGGAGGAAGGGCGCAATGAGGACAGGAAGGAGTTGGAGGGGCACGAAGAGGGCGGGGCGACAGCCATCGGGGGGGGCGGGGGACGGGGCGCGAGGGCGAGGCGGGCGCCAGGTAATGCTCAGCTGATCAGCGTTCTGCGCGCCCGTGTCCCCCCCCCCCCCAGAACACAGCAACCAATTGCCGGATTTCATCTTCCGGGCAGTCGTGCGCGGCGTGCGCCCAGGCGCTCGGGCCAAAGGTTCGAGTCCACGACGCCCATTGGCGTCGCGCTGATGCCGCCCCGCTCCGCCAGACCGCGCGTGCACAGATCGACAGAATCTGCGTTTCAATGTCGGCTTCGTTGCCCTCTCCACATTAACAGGCCCGCGCTGGAATCCAACGCCCCAGTCGGGGCAGCCTTTTCTGCTGGGGGGCGCTTCGGCCCAGCCTGGCTGCGACGTTCAGATTGGCGTGTCGACGGGGAGTCCGGCGCGCAGCTGGTTTCGCTCAGCCGAAACATGCTCATGCGCGTATATTTCCAATCCAGCCACCGACAGATCACGACGGCGCGTAAGAGCATCCGGCCGCCGTCTGGAA